TCTCCTCGAATGGTGACGAAACGTTTGCAAATCAATTGCCAAGCTCGGCGAACAGATCAACAGCCACCTGATCAATTACATGTACCTTCTTAGTTAAAAATAGGTCCATTACGTCCTTCGATGAGACCAGCTTCAATGTACCACTTTCCACTAAACTGAGTATCCCGTGTATGAAGGTTCTCGCCTGCTGGCGAGTAGTTTTTATGATTTGCTCTGTTAATCTACCTCCGTATACAACCGTCTATCACAATAAAATTCTTCTTGCACAGAATGCACTCTTTTACAGAGAAGCGTTTCTTTCTCCTGGGATGTTTTTTGGGGAGGAAAGTGGTCTCTCGATTGGAAACCAACACACATTACTTTTGCCGCCCAAAATAAACACCTTCCTTGGCTTTATCTATCGTTAACACCAGTACTCCCATACTCTTTCCAGGTCCCCTTTTCCTGAATAAACCTGTGTCAACGTATGCACGCACACACGCGAGCATCTTTCGAACGATCTCTTATCCAAGTAGACCGAAGCTTCCTTTCCTGTCTTGTTCTCCAATGGTTTACTGCCCAGACTACCACCTAGGCACAACCCTTCCCAATTCGGGGTGTCATCAATTTTCTTTACGTTTGTGACTTCCGCTGTCTGTCGTCTCACGTGCTGAGCTTAATTGCCGATAGAGTACCAAACCTGGGACTATTCGAGTGCGAACACTTGGACATTTCACCTGGAGCAACGACCAGCCATAAGGTTGAAAAAGTAGTTTCCCATCAATGCGATATCGAAACAGTACGTTGTTCAAATAGAGACGGTAGTCAAACAACTCAAAACAATGTGTTTCCCAACACACGATCAATCCACAAGATCGATGAAAATCGAAAGACCCACTATCTGCTTCGTCCAACTTAGAGTTCATCACGTAGGCCTTGTACTCGAATTCTTAGTATTCCTATATTGCATCGAAAAACCAACTCAAAAGTAAGCTGCGATAAACAGTCATAAGTTGGCATTTACACTAGTATCTGACCCTATCGTTTGTGGTATTTCTCCGCCGATTGTGAGGTACAGACGGTACACGTTTGTCACAATAATGTTCAGTTTGGTTCTCGAAACTGAGGTAGGATAAGTGCATGTGAATTTGGGATGATGAACTCAAGAAAGCCATAACCGGTGGATGTTCCTCTGGAGATCTCGTTGGTCCTCTAAGTAGAGTCTTGTGAAGGAAATAACCCAATAGCTTGAATAGGGTTCCCAGTGCAACGTGAGTTAACTAATATGTGGCACATTCAGGTGAAGAGTCCAATAAAGGAGAAATCCGGTTCAACTTAAGCTCTGTATTCTGTCATCACCGAACTACTCGCATACGTAGGCTTACGTAGTCAATGCAACAACACAATCGCATTTCCTCGGTTTAGTGTACCGTGTGGTATGGTTAAACCACAACTATTGTGCAAAGAACATCATCCCCATTGTTGTATAGATAGCTGACTTTGCTTGATTCGGCATCCACGCGATTTAACCACAGTAAAGGTTACTATCCGAAAGATACAAAAAAACGGAATTCCTCGAATTCTGATGTATAAAAGACCACCGGGCTGATTTCATAGAAGAAAATACCCACAAGGTTGCTGAAAACTCTTTGACAGCCCACGACCGGTTTCGCCCTTCTTGGGGCTCATCAAGTAGGCGCAATCCCCGAGTTTCCGTCAACCTTACGTTCTACTTGAACCCAAATTGGACTGTTCTCGAGAAATACGCTCATTTGCAAATCGATTTGGTTTTCACGAGAGACTCAACTGAATCTCTCGTTTATGATATTCTACAACACCGGGGCTATGTTTGTGTTCGTGTTTGACCTTAACTGAACTAGTTACCGAATAATCTCATTTCGCTTCGGTCAATGCTTGGTAGTATCACGCAGTTCGCCGTTCAGGGTGACTCGTTTTCTATACAAACGTACTGAATAGTTTTCCTCTCAAATTCAGCGCTATATTGCGTTTCCACTGAGATAGTTGCGTTACGCTGCGAAGATATCATAATATTACACCATTACGATTCACGAGATAATACTGGCTATCTAATCAGATTCTTCACTGTAATTTACTGAAGAACTGACAAGATAGCAAATAGCGTTGCAGGTAAGGCTTTTCGTGTAGATACGAGCATTCGGTGTGGGGATGAGAACTGAGGTGTCATTACATTGGGCTGTCAAATGTTCAGTCGGCCTTGAAAACGCATCAGAAAAACTACAGTCTTTGGTAAGATGGTACAAGCATCTGAATTCAGACTATCTGTTCACGAACATACTTGAATTATGGGACCGAGACAAGTAGGTTCCGCGCATTTACATTGGAGATTTGGTGATACTTGAGTGTCTGAAGACCACTTTGATTCTCTTTGAGGCAAATTCAAAACAAATTGAGAAGGATAGGCTCCATAGTCTATCAAACGCTACTCTATCGGTAGCGTTTTTCACTGGTAAACTCTGCCAATTGCTTTGAAGAGTTGTTGGAGTTGTGTTGTCAGCCCCACTTGATCGTATGATAGATAAATTGGAAGTCAGTTTTTGTGAGGAAATCAAATTCTCAAAACGTGGTTCTCGGCCCTGTAGAACTGCTTCTTTCGGACCATTTAGACTCTGTTTCCCCATTCCTCTCTCTTTGACACAGCGTAATCCTCGAATGAAAAACAGCTGCTTTAAGGGGTAAACTATTCCACAAAGGAAACTACTCACAAGGCTGCCGAAAACTTTTCGACAACCCACGCCCTTCTTTAGGCTCATCAAGTAGGCGCAGTCCCGGAGTTTCCGTCAAACTTATGTTCTACTTGAACCCCAATTGGACTGTCTTCGAGAAATACGCGCATTTGCAAATCAATTTGGTTTTCACAGGAGACTCAATTGAATCTCTCGTTTATGCTATTCTACAAGTGAATGTGCTGCACTCAGGCCGACTCGTGATTCAGTTGGCACGATATTCGAGATATCGCAGTATATTTTCATAAAGGAAACTACTCACAAGGTTGCTGAAAACTCTTCGACAGCCCACGACCGGTTTCGCCCTTATTTGCAAATGAGTGTACTTCTCGAAAACAGTCCAATTTGGGTTCAAGTGGAACATAAGTTTGACGGAAACTCGGGGACTGCGCCTACTTGATGAGCCCCAAGAAGGGCGAAACCGGTCATGGGCTGTCAAAGAGTTTTCAGCAACCTTGTGAGTAGTTTCCTTTATGAAAATATACTGCGATATCTCGAATATCATGCCAACTGAATCATGAGGGTAAACCTTTTGTTTTTTCTTGTTATTTATGACACGGAACTTTAAACAACTCCTAAGAAGAGTCCGTTCCCTTGAGAGATAAGTTCACTGGGATTTCTACCATACTGGTAAAACTCAGTTAGGGGAAACTCATTTAGAAAACCCCAAGTAGACTTTGTAGTTTTTCACCTTAGAAAATTTCCATCAGCTTGGATGGACCAAGAACAATATAATTCCAAACGGTATATACCTCATGAAAGGTCCTTTCCCTCCTAATGGTTTATCACTAAGGTGATTGATGTTGTGCCCGTTATTTCGCTTACTAACTTGCAAATTTCTGGTATTTTAGAATCTTAATCAGAGCTGTGTTTAAAAGGTAGGATATCGTCTTTGGGTTGTCTCAGTAGAGAGCAAAGTAATAGCCGAAGTTAAGGTTACCTTCTGATACCGTACGACCCATCTTTCGACATGAATTTGCAAAGTTTACATGGTTGTTTGCATACCTGAATGTGAGATAGCGCCCGGAAGTACTGAAGCCGACTTACTGCTGAGTGCATGCAACACGAACATCTATAAATACTGTTAGGCGATCAGAAGCATGAGTGGAATACGTGCGTCGTAAAATCAACCAGCAAAATGCCCCAACAACAATAAAGACCAAGCGNATCATCCGGAAAAGTGTCAAAGTGCATACAATCTCGAGGGTAAAATGCATCAAACTTGGCTAATGTTCTATTAATGTGAAAATTCAGTATGAGCATTCATCAAACTTTTGAAGACATAGCTACGTCGGCAGCAGAACGCTTAACCTGTGCATTTTGGTATATAGCGCAGTTTTAATCCTGGAGCAATTAAATCCTTTCGTAAGACACTGCTCAAAAATTAGGTCAGCGGAACTGAGCCCATAAAATTTATAGGATTCCAGACATCACGCACATTGTTGGACAAGCAAGCGAGCCTCGCAAATTCACGAGGGAAATGTTTGGACAGCTCAGTTTATTGGTGTGGTTCTCATGGACGACATTCGAGTGCCACAGACAAGATAAATGAAAAGTACTTAACGAGGGACTCTGTTCATTAGCATGACCATTGTCATTGACAGCACAATCAAAGAGGGAAAACCGAGCTGTGCTGACACACAACCGTAAAAATCTACTTTAGTATAGCTCCATAATGAGAATAAGTAATGGACCCTGAAGGGGGGCTTATGACCTGCACTTCCAACACGCGGTCAGGCAGTCTGGGTAGAAACTGAGAGCATACATATTTGTGATCACGACAGCTGAGCCACGTTGGGGGTGTTTTGCAGCAGACACGGTTGCCAGCCCAGAATCAAGCACACCCCGGTGGCAACACTGGCAGAACCCCATTAAACAACGTTCACCAGAATTCTCACAATTTAGCGCCGTTGAGAATGGTGAAAGGGTGAAATTTCAAGCATTTTCCCTCTGGTAGACTGAGTGAAGGACACAGATAGCCATTAGCGTAGGTTAACTGGAAAAAGTCGTCCTTCTGCATTAGCCTTGGCTATATTTATCTGTTTGAAACAGATTTTCTTTGAATGGTGAGCGTAGGTGATTCCGGAAACCGTTCAGAGCCATTTGTACTCAAGTGGTGAGCACTGGTCCCAACACCTAGCACATATTGCTGAAGCAGAGTGCTCCGTTCAGAGTGTGACCCCTCTTCTGGCACCAACCCTTATGGGCCCGTTCATTATGTATCTGGGCCGTGATCTGAAAGGCTGTGTGGCAAATTTGTGGGGCTATTCTCGGTTGATCGTAAAAAGCAAAAAATAATTCTCCGCATCTTGGTTTGATCATATGGTGATAACTGGATCTTCTTACTCAAGCGATAAGCTGCTGATATTCCCTTCGGAGAAAATTATTTCCTAGGCACATGGTCAAATTCCACTACAATGATGTTGGTAGGGTCGACTTTCTCTAATCGTCCTAATCTTAATAACATCCCTTGTGACCGTCTCATCGCAGTGATAAAATCGATGGTTCCACAGACGGGAGAATGCGCAGTGTACGGGAAGGGTAGTATCTGGCCTGCCGTTCGCTCGGCCGGTGGGGAGTTTATTTCGAAGGAATGTACCAATTCCAATTATTGGTGCGCTTTGAATGCTCAGTAAGTGCTTCACCATAATTTTGTGTAGCATTCAAGAGAGTAGAGCTGTAGCAGTCTTCCCGAATGCTTCTTCAGGGTGGATGAACGGGCTGGGCGATGATCGTCAGGCAGTGTATGAGCGATCGTAACTGATTTTTCTCGACACCCGTGGGAGTAGATTGCAGACTTCCTTTTCCTAGTGTCTTGTCCGGCTGGCCCGGTCGAAGTCACGTGCTTCCTTGGAAGAGCCAATGACTTGTCAATAACCGTTGCTTGTCTATTGGTCACTCCGGATCGCCCAATCACGATAAGGTTGCCGCGTGGCGGCCGTATGACAATGCTCCGTCATTTCGCCTGGTTCGCATTTGTTTCAGCGTAACGCTGTCCGTTTGTTGCTCGTTTGGTTCTTTTGGCTACCGAAAATGCTCTTCAACCCCGACGAAGAACATGCTGCATGTGGAGTGGGCTTTGTTGTCAACACGAGAGGATGCCGTTCGAATTCTGTGAGTTTGATTTTGTTGATTATAACCCAAACCCGGCTCTTTGATGTGAAGTGTTATTGATTGGACACGTCAACAAAGATGTAACAAATGGGAATCGCTGTGCGTACAACCGTCTCATTAAGGATGAAGTCGGTCAGTATCACCTACCAAAAGCACAACGGTCGCGATTATTCAATTTAAGAGGGCATGATCCAGCTCACTCGTGTCTGAGTCGGTGCATTTCCACTTGAAAACACCAAAAACTAAAAACACTCATAATTACGGAGAGAATAGCTCGCCGCAGGATAATAGACTGAACTGCATTCAGCACAGTGAGCAAAGGCTTCACTTTTGCCGCTGTATCATAACTTCAAGAAGAAAGCGATTTTTAGCTTTTTACAACTCATTGATGGCAGCGAAGCATTGGTGCTGGACGCTGACCTCATGCTGTCGATGTTAATGATGATGATGATGACAACTCAGTGACAACGTCTGGTCAAAACCCATAAAACATTTTGACTAGGCAGGTATAAAGTGAGTCAGAACTAAAGACCGCTGAATTTTCGTTTTTACCCTGCCTAACTCAGTGCATCATTTGTCCTTGAACTTTTTACGCCGCACGTTGAATGATGCTCTGTGGTATCTCAGCCCTGCTGCCCCCTATGAGTTACACGGTAGCTTTGTGCTCGGAGGCAGCACAATTAGAAGACCGTTATTATTCGCCAACTGCTCTCATTTGCCCACTGATTTGATTTAGAGTGGTTTTCTACCTAGTAAACCCCAGATAGGGCAATACCGATCGTGCGTTCTCGGAGAGCTTTCGATAGCTCTATGAGTGATGTGTTACTTCTAGACTATATTATTATTATTATTATTATTATTATTATTATTATTATTATTATTATTATTATTATTATTATTATTATTATTATTATTATTATTATTATTATTATTATTATTATTATTATTATTATTATTATTATTATTATTATTATTATTATTATTATTATTATTATTATTATTATTATTATTATTATTATTATTATTATTATTATTATTATTATTATTATTATTATTATTATTATTATTATTATTATTATTATTATTATTATTATTATTATTATTATTATTATTATTATTATTATTATTATTATTATTATTATTATTATTATTATTATTATTATTATTATTATTATTATTATTATTATTATTATTATTATTATTATTATTATTATTATTATTATTATTATTATTATTATTATTATTATTATTATTATTATTATTATTATTATTATTATTATTATTATTATTATTATTATTATTATTATTATTATTATTATTATTATTATTATTATTGGTGTTGAATAGCCTCCAGGCCCCGAATATTCCAGGCTCTAGATGGGTCTGTTTTTCAGTTAGCTTTCATTCATGAGTTATGAGAACGATGATTTGAAAATTACCTGCCTCATCCAGACATGGGTGACTTCGCTGTTTCGGTTTTGGTAGCCATCTCCCATGAGTGGTGACGTCAAGCGCAACTCCATGAACACGGATCCCAGACGATACTAACCTACTTGGGATCGTGTCAGTCAATTTGCCAATCCACTACATCGATACAGTTGTAGTGGAATGTAGTGTAGTGCGAAATAGGTATCGCACTGGAGACGGCGATTTCGAGAATATATCCAGGTTGAAATTTAGAGTCCGTTAACCGTCTGATGGACTCGAAATTTCGTAGTAATTCCATATCTGATAGGAATATACGATACCATGTAGGGTAATTTACTTTTGTTCTAAAAGCTCCCCCTTGCATCATCACCACCTTTGTATGCTTATCGAGAAGCAATTTAGCCCCACTAATGCACCTGATCTTTGTGGATGTTGTCTACCTCTGTCCTTATTCACAAGTCCCTGACAATGATGCAATTAGATTATTCAAACTACAGCGAATGTTTGATGATTCTTACCACTCAGCAACGGACCTAAAGCTGACGTTGCGTCAGAACGATTAGAAAACACTCGTTCGTTGCGGGATGATTAAACCGGATGACCGAGCAGCAGCTGTTGTACGGAAAATACAAAATGCTGAGCAATCCACTGTATCTATAACAAAATAAGAAACCATAAAGTTGATGTATGAACGAGTCTGCATTTTTCTACTTTAAGTTTGGGGCGATTTTTGCAGTTTTCAAATAAAGAACTACTGACAGTAAAATAACGACAACAAGCTGGGCGAAACATGAGAACATCAACAAATGCGCAAGTATTTTCATACCGTGCTTTAACTTTGGTAGTAGTATGAAATCCCATGAATTCGCGGTCAATTACGATGGGCAAATGAAGGCTAATAGCGTTGATGAAATGCGGATCGTCTTCTGGTGAAATTTAAACTAAGATACCCACAACTAGTTGCAGTTCGTCTGAGCCTCTGGAATTACAGACGAGACATTTAATCCTACCACACCTTTGAACGGTTGCTGAACTTCCAGTGAACCAGCAACGTTTTCTTGCGGCATTACTTTCGTCAATATTCCTCTCGTGGCGATGGAAATTTCCTAGACCTCTGCAGTATTAAAACCTGCGTAACCGTGGCACAAAACAAACCCGCGTCTTATTTAAAAACGTACACGGCACATCTACAAGTTCTAAGTCACGCCTAGTTCGTTATAAGGCAGAGCAATACCCGTCGTCTATTCGATGCCGGTAATTTCCAATAAAGGTTTCATCTTGTGAAACCACTCTGCTGAAAAGCTGAGATGCGCACTGGTGACGCTTCTCAACAAGTACAAAGCAGCCGTAAAGTGCCCTCCTTCTTTTCAGTATAGGTTGGTTTCACTTTTTATATGTCTGGCGGAAGCGTATAAATTGCGTTGCGCATACTTGTTCTCACTTCACTGAAGGCTCCTACTTTGAGTTCAGAGAATCGGAATCGCACCCCAGACAGCTGGTTTGATTTGACTATTCTGTACCAACCGATGATTTTTCTCTCGCGAAACGGATTTTCTATCCGAATGCCTGTAGTATATCGTAGTATCGTCACGAAGAGACTGGACCTTACCGTGATGTGGCGGTTTGTGTACCTCGGAGACCCATTGAGCTATACTGGGAGGTGTCCGCGTTACACTCACAGAGTCTCTCATACCAGGTTGGTCAATGGTTAGAGGTCTGATGAACACAGTCTTCTGGCCCTCCAGGTTGGGGGTTGGAACACGTATGGCGACTTGTTCCGTAGAAATGGTAATGCATTTACATTTCCCCGCCAAACACCGCTGCCTTGCGGTTAGGCTTTTGAGCCAAAGGCTTTGGTTGAGGACCCTAATCGTCCTCCTGTCTAGGTGTGGGCGCCCTGGCAGTATCCCAGCCCTCGTACAACCATGACCTACACATCGTAGCTTCCTGATTCTGAGCAAAGGAAGGCATTTTCTTTCCACAACTAGTTATATTCGTTCAAACTTGCAGATCGTTTCGTAAGTGTCAACCCAAGGTAACGCCGTCAGCTACCCGCTCAAGTTCAACTTCGCATCCTAAGAATTGTCCTAGTGTCATTGATGTAATTCGCGGAATGCTGAAGGAAGTCGCATGCCTAAATTTAAGAGCATGGCGCCCACTGGATGGTCGTGGAAGGGCGCATTTGCCCTCAAGCATGCGTTTGCTTAACGGCAGGATATGAGCTTATGATGCTGTCAGCACTGCTACAACAAATTAAGGGGAAAGGCGACCAAATTACCATTGGAAAAATATTGTCCTCTGAGAGATACAAGCGTTTAAAAGTTCATTTTTTCCGAAAGGGAGGACTTGGTCGATCTGGTGCTAAACAGCGGAAACGCCCTTATGTCGGTTACATCTGGGTCGTCATATTGTCAGTAATATATAGAAGAGTAATTCGGCCACAGAAAAATGCAGTCGTGGTGCGGAGGATTTGTCACAATGAGGATCATTAGAAAGAACTCCAAATATCATGACATCTGAATCTGAACCGTAGTGAAAATCCCTGCTGACCATCAGACAAGTTTGTATACCGTATTAGCAAGACTGATCGGTGTGAAGAACAACAGAGAACCTGGTAAACATGTTTGGAGCTAGTCGTACACTTGAGATGTTTGTGGAAATTCTGAAAAGGACAGTGGTGTTCTCCTTATCCAAGCTGGGAGAGGAGCGGTCTGGCAAGAGTGAGGTTATGCTTTTGGATCTCGCGCCCTTCATTTTTCTCACTTGTGTTGCATACCTGGGTTCATATCCAACATTATCCGATCCTCATCACGAATGGTGTCTTACTCCAATCTGGTGTTAAGATATGGGAATCAGAGTATCCACCGATCCTTATCTGCCTTCACTACAGATCTTAGACAATCCTTCTAAGGACCTGACAAATCAATCCATTCGTGTGTACTGCGCAAACCTTGGAGAGTGGATTCACTACTGTTTCCGTGACCCGGATCTGGACTCAATTATAAGTTCCTTCAAGGGTTGATAAAGTGGTGGCATCAGTAATAATGTGTGAGCTTAGCAACTGAGTGGGGCAGTTCAGTCATCTTTCCAAGCCTCACAGACATTTCAAATGAGTTCTTCATGGAATTTCCTTCGGTCCACTACGTCTGGATCAGAAATTAGCTTGATTTGAAAACCAGACTGTTTGAAACATCACGCCACAGTTTGTCAGATTAACTTCTGCTGGTGAACCGCCAATATACAATGATATTATGAGTGGTGACCTCCAACTCGAACTCCACCTGTTGCTTAAAAATCCATTTTGCATAGAAAGTTGTTTCCTGCTGATAAGTCACTTGCTGTTTTTCACCCCTTTCTTTTGCACTACTTTCAGTATCTGTGTTATGATTTAACTTTGCTCTCTTGTTTACATAGATACTGCAAGAAGCTCAGACTATGCTGAACCGTATGGACCACCGAGGTGCTTGTGCTTGTGATGAGAATACGGGTGACGGCGCTGGTGTAATGACCAGTATTCCATTCGAGCTGTACTCGCGGTTTGCTGGGTAAGGGCTTCTGTATTGTCAGTCTAGTCTGTGCTATAAATTCTAGCTACGTGACTGATGCTCGGCCAGCAAATTCCTTACTTGAGTCTCCCAACGACGTAGTTTCTGGAGGACTTCCTGGCCGAATTTCGGCCATACGTTCGTTGCGGTTTGTGGATGTCTATGGTTTGCAGCTTGAATACGCCCGAAACCAAGAATGGATGCCGACGGACTCTAACATTTAGGCTACCTAGTTATTCCACTGCGTGTTGTGCCTGATTTAACACCTATATTTTTGTATGTGGTACGCTTCGCTCTTCAGCTTTTTGGTAAGTTTAATCATCTTGTTCTGTGCTAATCGGTTTCCTCACGTGATCGTTCACTCCGCGTTGCAGTAGACATAGAACACTAGACTTTCGTAGTTCCTAGACTGTGCAGCAAGTAAATTTTTCTGGAACATAAACATTTCCGTGCATCACTTGCTACTCTTGTCTAACATCTCTTTTTCTTCCAACATATTTAGTGAAGCTAACAAAGAACTACCTCCTGTGGGTCAATTTGCTCCCGGCATGATTTTCGTGCACAAGGTCACCGCCGAGCAAACCATGGAAAAATTTGCCGGACTGGCTGAAGAGTGTTGCCTGCAGGTAAACATTTCTTGATTGCTGCTTTTTACTGTTGTTCTGTTTTCTCTGTTTTTTACACTCGAGCTGTTCATCTGATGAAATGATTATTTTCATGCGCTCATGAAGTGCGAAAAGTTTCGAATAATGAAAAAATTAAAATCGTTCAGCTATAGCACCCTTTCGGTGCCTAGCTGCCACGCCAACTTAAGGAGGCACGAGAACTGGAATACTGCCAAGGTTGCCCAGCCTAGAGTTGCTGAGTTCGGGTTCGAATCACGGACCTTCCGGTTCGTAAGCTGACGCCTTAACCACTGAGTGATCTCTAATCAATAGTTGGTGCTGAGATATAGTTTTTTTTTTGAAATCATTGTGATACCCCATCACTGGAACTGAACTGAAAACGATTGGTGATAAACAGGCAACAGAAGCCGTGATTGTGTATAGTTTATGGCATACTTTGAGAGATAAGGCAACACTGTCTACTTCGGATTAAATCATTTCTCAATTCTGTGCAACTGTGGAAAGTCTCCCACGCAAAACACTTTTGGACCACTAGAAAGAATTGAGCGTACTTTACTAGAGGTTTATTGTCGAAAACCTTCACTGGAAAGGCAACTTCATGGTTGTTTCGGGTCAAGCCAGTGGTTAAGAGTAGCTTTCTAGATCGTACGCATCACAGGCCGCCGGACACTTCGAAATCCAAATTAAGTAGATAATGGGAAATAGCTTTCGCATATAAACCCATCGCATTTATGGCTGTAATTGTCTTAGTTCATTGCTCTTAATAACCTGCAGAGTGCATGCCACAGTATATATATATATATATATATATATATATATATATATAAACGGTGTATCAATACTCAACTACGTTTAATTTTTGTACGGCAGTCCGGGAACTAATTCATTACGAGTGCTTGCTCCTCACGAGGCTCTCCTGAGCTCCTGAAACATACATGGTCTCCAAGTTGTGTCCACATGCCCGTAGTTTCAGAATGAAATCCTGAGTCAATGCGAGACTTCAGGTCTAGCTGAGATTGCAACATCTTTCTGAGGTGGATCAGGATCGTCACCAACAACATCATTACTGCTGACTGTAGAGTGGACAATTTATCCCGCTTTGATAACTGAACGTTGCTGCTGTGTTGACAGCTGAACACTCAGGTCAGCCACCCAGTGAAGGATGCTCCTAAGATCACTCTGCCATTGGTTGGATCCAAAAGCCTATCTCTCTCTTCCAGCAGATTGTGATTACTAGGTCGTGGTTTGACCTAGCGAGCCGAACGTTATTTCAGATTTTGAACTATCTTTGGGAGCCTTATTTGAAGTGAGTCAGCTGCTCCATGTACACAACTGTTCTTCAAGTCAACCACACTTGGGTGATCCGAATTCGTCTATGGGTGGTAACGTGTTGAAATATCAGTAGATCGGGTAAGTTTATTGGTTGTTGATCAGGTGGCTGTTGATCTGTTCGCCGAACTTGGCAACTGGCTTGCAAACGTTTCGCCACCATACGAGAAGACATCATCAGTGCGCATTTGATGATGTAAGTCCCTGTTTGACGAGACCCCCGAGTCTAAGTTCAGAGCAGATTAATTTATGTGATAGAATCACAGAGATATACAGTAGATTCATGATTTTGTACGTAACCGTAAAGAGCCCTGTTCAGGTATCCGGTTTTCCAGTCAGTTGGTTTTTCAATTTGCGTGTATTGACAACTGTTTCACAATTCAATCATCCTTCAGATATTGTTCTGGCGCATGGCTGAAGTGGACCACGATGCTGTTGGTGATGTTGCCAGATCGAGAGAACCTGCAATCGTTCAGGTGAGTGCATCGTACGGACTAACCCCTCCTGCATAAACAATAGAAATTTTGCGCATAGGAACTGCCTGCATTCCAGCAAAGTCCGCTCCCTTATATAGTCCTAAGTTGCAAATATTTGATGCAATTTCCTTGTTCGTGGTCCGGCAAACCACAATGCTATCACAGTTCCGAATCTCATCTATCCATCTCCGTTGGAGTGTCCCCTCGATTTGAAGTAGACTGCGGGCACCGATGTGAAGGTGGCATGGAACAAGCAGCATTGATAAAGTTGAGCAAAGGTAGCTAGTTCTAGCCAACCACCATACTGACTCTTGCTTCGATAGACAAACCAACACTAAACATGACTGATTTGGAATTGAGTAATTTATCCGAGATCATAGACTATACTGACAGTTGTTGCTTCCGTAATAACTGGACCCTCAAATGCTTGCATCCGGGTTACTCGTACCCCTTACTTCTGTGTATCCACCTGTACTGACACTGCCTGCATCGCTAAATAGCATCCTGCAAAAGCTAGCTTTTGTCACATTTATGTAAAAATGTGATCTGTTCGAGGTCCACAATGAGAATCAACAGGAAGATATGGCGCTTACTTTAACGTCCCCTATTGCCAATCTTAAAATTAATCAGCAATTGGTGGTATGTTGAAATTTTGAAACTGTCACTAAGTGCGATTGTCAGGTGTAAATAATACGTCCTCAGCCAAGCATCTTAGGACCAAGAGAAGACAACTGTTCCTCAGGCCCCAATGATGAGGACCTGGAACTGAGAAAATTTTGTAATGGATAGTATCCAGTGCCTTCCACTTAATTCGTTTTACATAAAAGACTTAGCTGTGTCTGGGACATTGCTTAGATGGTCGTTCCGCCCAGTTACTCTCCATAGTACCGCTTCATGTGTATGTTTGGACAATTCAGCAATCTCGGTTCGCTTTTCACTTCTGGACAGTTTACGTTTCACTTTCACCCATAGTGAATAGTTTATTTCGAAAAACAAAGCAAGTAGAGTGGCTGAGATAATTTTCGGGTCTTACGATAAGTTTTTGGAATTAACCTCTCGAGTTATACAAAATGCTCATAAATGTGTGATTGTTAGTACGTGCAACAGTTGAGGAAATTGGAAGTATTCAATAGAAACCCGTTTTAAACAGTCGCTCTGATTGGGTGGGGCCCTCAAGAGATCGTAGCTTACCGAGTCTGTGGATTATCATAATCACCAGTGTAAAACTAGGGTTTGTTAGTAATTTTGAAGGGAAACAACTGTAGCTTGGGTGTGTGGATGGATTTGGCTCAGATCTTTTCACCAGGAACGCAGCAACATATCCCAAACTGAAGCACTTATGTCTGCGGCCAATTAGGCAACAGTTAGGAAACCGGACTTGGTAGATGTACGCGTTTCTTATATTGGCTCATCAGTACCAAAGTATCGAAAACCGGAAGATGAAACTCACATTTTCCACAAACAGGGGTGGCAGTCACCTAGTCACCAACCGATCGGCAATGAACAGAAACAACATGCGCGTCTAGATCGACGTAAACCCACTATTTCCTCCAGTTTCCTCCGAACAAACAATGAGAGCTCAAACTAATTGATTTAACCTCGGCGAACTTGAGAACACCCGAGTTTTTAAGAACGCTGAGGTTTAATCAAAATGTGGTGAGTCGCTTATTGTGGCAGCTTACGATCAACCAAGGGTTATGACAGAACCAATGGTGGTCCCTCTGACGAGGTGGCCTAGCCATGTTTTTGTTGGTCTCAGATACCATGACACTAGGGGGAGTCGCCGGTGCTCATCACCTGGCAGAGTAACACCTGCCCCTTATTTACGTCCAGGTTGTGTTGGTACAATCTCACGGGCAGCGGAGTATTTATGTGTGTACATTATGTTCCGACATCGTCTCTGTTGTTCGCACATATGTGAACGGTGTGACAGCCTTTTCAATTAATCAATTAATCTTGTCTCCCCCAACGATCTTCCATCTAATAGTACGCACTGATTGGTTACTTTGGTCTATTTCGAGAGTCAGTTTCATCTATGCTTTCTGCATTTGTACACAATGTCTTGTTTTTTGCCTCATTGCAACATAGCTTTGAAAATCCACCTATCAGTTAGGGCAACTCGTTGATTGGGACAGTGATTCCGGTTGCAACTCAGACTAAAATTTAATCTCCTCTCTCAGATGCGGTGTCAATCAAATGGAGCGGACATAAATTAGGAACAACCCACTGCTTCTATTGAGCTTGCGCCGGTGTGTTTCTCTACACACCGTTGGTGATTCACTTGATGGTCAGCTTCAGAGCAGTTTTGGTGACTGGAAACGTGTCGTCCAGAATTCGTTCTTATTCGGCCCAAATTTTGAGGTATTCGGTCGAGCAGTTTTCCCATCTGTTCCGGGTAAAAGCGCATTGGCTATCATTTCCACTTACCGGTCGTAGCTAGAGAAGAAAATATAGACTGAATGGAGGGTTTTCAGAAAAACAAATAGTCAACCAACTTGGTGCACATTGTCACACTTCAATTCTCTTCGCTCGGTTTTTTAATCGCACAATTTCCCACCAGTAAAGTACCGAACTGCTCTTACCATGTCGCCCTAAACTTTTTCAGGTATTTTTAGTTCCAAGGTTTGAGGAGAAACCCTTCGATGTGGATAAATTTCGAGGAGAGGTAAGCACTGGCCACCAAGATAAGGCTGTGACAATATTGTGCTTAGTGCTTCATATCGAATGGGCTTTCTTTCGCATTATTGCTTTGCACCTCATCATAAAACTCAGTCGGCTAGATTTCGCCCTGCTTTGAACCGACCAATCAGTGATATTCGGTGTCACATTTCACGAGGTAACCTCCAACGAAGAACTGATCCTTAGGGCACGGATTTTTTTTGACTACACCCTCTTAAAAATAATTAGGGCTCTCTTATTGGTATCTCCAGAATTCGGAAATGCTGTCAGTTCAGTCATAGTTGTCATTCACGTGTAAGTACTCTGTCTGTCACTTATGCCAGGTTAATACAGGTCATTCACACATCAATGCACACAAAGATGTGTAGATATTTTAAGAACAGCACATGAACATGAATAGCGACGGTTCATTGGGTAACACAGAAGAAAAGCGTCTGTTCAGTTAGGAACATGTATTCAGTGCATTACAAGCAAAGAGTAGATGTGTTCACTTCACTTAACTTATTAAGTGAAACTTTCATAGTGCATAATCCTGAAAGATCCTGAGTCTATTGAAGTATCTGTGGAAGAGAAATCACAGTATTGTTTCGAAATGTCGAATAACAACTCTCTCGGCTATATCTAGATTCAGCTGATTTTTAGGCTGTATGCAGTGCATTGCACATGCTTGCAGCTGATTGATGATTTTAGTTTCTGCTTTTCTTGTCGAGTACCGAGTTAGTATATGTCCCCCTTTGGCCGTTACATCCGCATTTCACACATATAAAAGGATTTTTCGAAGCTTCTGGCGTCGTTCGTGAATATCTGATTCGCGGCATGGGCTTATTGATACTCAGCTTTTGAAGAGTGCTTCCTCCATTCTGAAACCTTTTTCTCTAAGTAACAAACAGACTCCTGAGAGTAAAATGTAGACTTACCCTTAGGCACTGATTACTTGCCTATCTTGGGCGGCCTATAGTATGAAGCACTGTCGCTTGCCCGTGTTGTCCTAGATCCAATTTCGATTAATATCGTATCGCACTGGGATGAAAACCTCAAGGATGCCTTTTTGATACCGATTCGCAATTCCGCACAATAGAACACAAATAATGGTTGACACGATGATCGTAGCTCCTGTGACGCCCTTTGGACTGAGTGAATGGGCAGTTTGATCGTTCGATATTTCAGAAGCAGCGTATTCTTACTGTTATTCAAATATTGCCTCTGTGCACTGCTTTTTGTTGGCATGCGGTGCTGCGGTTGCTCATTACTCAACAACTTTTGCCTCTTGCATGATCACACAGGTCTTCTTACTCCGTAAATATGCCAGTCACCAGCTTGGAGAGGACTGTTACATTTGCAGTCTATCGCCGGACACTGTGGTTTACAAAGTAAGTAAAAATGATCTGTAACCCTTTTCTATCCATCACTCACACACGCATTCAACAATACCTAAATACCTCAGATCAGACTGTCATCCTGATTTGGAGATACCTTCGGTGAGTGTTTAGGTGTCCTCTGTGCACTCGCCACGCAGTCTTGTTCCGTTACCTGTCACCTGCTGCTTATTGGCTGGATCGCCAAATCCATTAATTTGAAGCTGAGCGTTTCCCAGCAGTGTCTATAGTATGTCACATACGCGCACATACCAAAATCCATATCCAGTACGTACTCTGCTAACAGAAAACAGATGCATCAGTATAAGGTCACTACGTTGTGATAAGTTCTAGCACAGTGACACTTCGATTAAACCCAACGAGTTCAGTGCCTTTTCTGTCTCGAGGGTGAATCCGAATCGGTGGATGCTAATCTCATCAATTTAGCTATTATTTTTTTTATTTTGTGTTCAGTTCGTTCTTGTTTTGTTGCACGAGTGCATAGAAGCGCGATAAAGAGTGGCTGGTGCGTAGCCCGGCACTACGGTATAACGTTTGGTAGCTTTAGCCTTTTTCAGTCGTATGCTCTCAGCTACCCTTTTAGTATTCCAGTTATCAAGGAGGTTCATCGTTTCCTTCTATCCTACAAGCTCTAACGCACCGAGTATCAATCGGGTTTCGACCAGCATCTCTAGATAATAACAATCGTCCCACACCACAATGGTGAAAGTTAAGGGATAACATCATATATAGTTTCAGTGAACACAATAGTACGAACATAAAAAGATTGGTAATGTGCTCATGTGTGCGCACATTGATTCGTAATCTACGGAACGTCTTCCCTAGAGTGTCATGAACCGAAGGTTTGATGACGGGTGGCTTGCCAAGGGGGATGAGTGAATTACGAATTTTTCTTATACGGTACGCGACACGCTTTACAGGATGAGGTCTTTTTAATTCCTCCTGTGATGTGGCACCTGCTTGAAGACGATGCATCTCCGCCATTAGTTGCTGCTCTGTTTAACTGGACATTTGAGCGTCTGGGCACCTCATTCCCGGTTTATTTGTCGCTGAAGTGAAGCCACTCTTCAGTTAAGTCAACTGCATTCTTGACCAGACCTCCTCAAGATTTACGGTATCCATAGAGTCCACGGCCTTGTTCCTCGGGGGTCTATTTATCCCCCGAAGAAAACGTGAACTTCATAACCTGTAGCAAAGTGCAGCAAAGACTTATTTGTTCTCAGGGTCAAGCGACAGTTTTCAATGCAAGCCAACGCGACGCTTGACTATAAACTATAAACCTAACTGAGGAGACCCAATTTTAAACCTTTAATATTTTTTTGCTACTGATGTTTAATCTTAAGTTTTTGCTGAGACAGTATTCATCCCCAGTTCTTTCGCCTTCAACGCAATTTATTTGGTGTTGAACATACACACTTGCCGTGCAGCTCTCCTATTGATGATGGAACTGCACCATTGCAAATTCTAGTTACACCACGTTGTTGTGTAGAACATTTTGCAGCTGAAGGACAATGCTTCTGGAATAGTCAGCCTAGGTTGGGGCTGATGATCAGTGAGGTGTCTCACCTCGGCGCACAAGTTAACTTGTATACTGACAAAATTGACTAGTACTAAGAACGTTTTACGGTTAATGTTGTGCTCTTTCTTCCATTTGGTGTTTAAGGATGTTCCTCATCTCTCTAATTCTTGTCCCGCCTCTCTCAGGGAATGTTCACCACCAAACAACTGTGGACATACTACAAAGACCTACAAGATCCGGACTATCAAACTCATTTTGCAATGATTCACAATCGCTTTTCCACCAACACTCTACCATCATGGGGGCGAGCACATCCGCAACGTATGCTGGCACACAATGGGGAAATCAATACACTTCGGGTAAACAATGGGTTTGTTATTTTTTTCACGTTCATGTCGAAGGTGTGCCTGCACACAGTGATTCATACATTACTCATCACCACTGGATATCAAGCACAAAAACGAATCCAGCATTTCACCTTTCTCTAGAAGCTTAAATCCGCATCAACCGGTCCTTTCTGCTTTTGTGAATACTATTTTCCCCTATTTACCATCCAGCTTGCCATTTGAGTAATCTGGCGCTAATCACTAGCTTGGAGAAAAGGGATCCGAGTCTAGTAGTTCACAGACAGTGCACGCCTTATTTTGGCAGTGTCGCTGGAATGTAGTGGGTTGGGGAACTACCAGGCTAGATGGCTTTCCTTCTCGAGTTGCGATGCTTTGGCTAAGGAAAGTTTGATTGGCGAATCAATAATGCCCAGTGAATCTTGCTAGTTGATTGAATCGAGGTTCAAGCATCGGACAACTAAATTAGCTTGTTCAATTTTCGGATTACGTAAGGACGAGATTGGGCAGCTTGGAGACTGGGTTGTAATGTTGACGACGGTCTTTATTCTTTTATGTGCTCGCACTTAACCATAAGTAGCGATCTAACAGATACTTGTGTTGCCCTCGCAAGGCCGGATCATTGTCGCTGCGCTGAGCTTTGAACCGTAGTACAGCCATCTATCATAGTCATATCCAACGATTTAACCAATTACGCTGATAAGCTCTACCAATGTTGAACCACCTGCGTGCTTCTTCGGTGATTATGACTGGGTAGGGGTTCCAGAATCACAATTCAGACCGATAGCTTTTTGCTCACGTGAGACTAACCCAACAGCAAACTTAGTGTTAAAAGCATTCGACGCTCTTCGATTTCACTGACAACGGTAATGTTCTTGCACAAAATCGCTGGGGGAATAAACATCTGGAACGTGCCCTATAACGGTCGGTCTTACTCCCCTTCCACCCACGTCACTGTATGGGACGAAGGCCCTCTCTTCTAAGCGACGTGTAAATGTTCTGTAGAACTAACTAGGTCTGTGCTATTTATTCATAGGAATGGGTGACAATCGCTAGTTACGGTAATTTAGATTAGTTACTGTTGTATAGACTTGTTTGAGTCTCATTCCAAAGAGAGTCCGGTATCGGTTGAAGCTGCTTGCAGATTCTTTTTTCATTCCAGAGACTAGCATAACTGTGCATGCTGAAGCAGACAACGGTAATGTGTTGCAAACGTCCTTTCTTAACGGCAACCAAGCCATCCAAATCTATAGTCGTACTGAAAACCTGATGCGTATTATTGTGAGTACCAATATAAATCGCCCCGTTTTCTTAAAGTAGTAACAATTTTCGGCCTAATTCTACCCACGGACTCTTTACATCTGTGTTATGACTATCCAAGTAGGCTCCCTATCTAGTTCTTGTCAGAATGACATGGCGGATGAACACAGTTCACACACAATGAAAAAAACGCAGAAGGTTACTGAACAGATTTAAGTTAGTGTTAAAAAGTGTTAAAAAAGAGAACAACGCAAACCAAAACAGGAAATAAATCAGGCTACTTCCTGCGACATATGGGCCAAAGCCTTTCCGTATTTGATGCAAGTGTGAAATAATCACCATGGTAGCTCTCTTGTAAATATCCAGCCAAGTCCAAATGGACGACTGTTATACCCAGTCATAATTCTCCGTTATCCGTCTGACTCCGAAATGATCAAGCCATCATCTTATTTCTCTGATTTGAATCGAAAGCAGTGAAAGCAACTGGATGGAGCTTACCTGGGTTGGTGGACAGAGGGAGCCATCCTACATCACTTCGATTTTCATCAGTCTTAACGTTTTTCTTGTTTTTGCAGGAGTAAGGTGGTAGTTACTGCACTGAATGAACTGAAAACCTGCTCTTGACTACACTGTTTAATCCCTACTCACGCATTCGAAACTGTGAACTCCATTTTCGATATTTCAATTTGTTTCGATACGCGCCTACGACTAAGAAGCAACACCGCAATTAATAGTCTTTAATTATGATAGATCGGTTACTAGTGTCAATTCGTCCACGAGTCTCTGTACAGAGCGAGCTGCGTGACTTGACATTTGTTATCCTATAAATAATAATGATGTCTTTGGGGCTAATCACACCCCCATTCCATAGAACCGTACGGTACTTACGGATGAAACGGGGATCCGAACTCCTCTTATGACACAAGTGTGCTCAGCGATTTACGGTTGTCAACTAATGTCGATTGTTGTTGCATCCAAGATATTCGGGAGCATTCTTCTCGATACCTATCACACGTCTGGTCTATGTGCACTCTTCAAGTGGAGGTAAATATATTTGTCATATAAGAAGTAGTATCTGACTGAAGAATAAAACAGAGCGCAATTTACCCCCATTCGAATATATTTTGCCTACAGTACTAAAGAGATTAGGTTTCCTCAACCTGAAAATTCGCTGAACAATTATAATCTTGGCCCTGAGGAATAGACAAGTAATTGAGTCTTTGTGATTTACAAACCTCGCTTTATCTCCAAAGTCCGTATTCTTCGGAGTTTAGTGAGTTTAACCCACTTTTGAATGGCTCATCTCAGGTTTTGTAATCGGTTTTTGGTTCATGGTGTTCAGGCGCGAGCGCGCTGCCGAAAAGTCCATGGCATGAATCCAAACCTAAGTTTTCTTTTCCTCTCATCCTGTGTTTTGTGTGACAGCTATGCACCAAGAGGGTGTCAGAGCTGAACATTTTGGTTTCATTTTCTTTTATGGAGATCTTACCGTGCGCGCGTATGCATTTTGCATTGCACTGCATGTTAGACAAAGTGGTGCATTTGCTACACCTGACTTTCCCTCTCGTCACGCGAATTCTGACTGTGGGTTGATCTCTCACAAGTTTCCCTGTCTATGTCGAGCGCATCGGTTTTTAACACTAGGTTTTATGGAAGTACAGTTTATTTGTACCGTATCAAAAGCCCCCAGCGTGTAGTGAATATACTCCTTGACTTGGTGCTTAATCAGTACCATCGTTTGCGTCAATCTGTGCGGAATACCATCGTCGTGTGTTTGGATTACCTCGAAACATGATAACACGTTTAGTCATCTTGTTTGAAACACAGAGTTCAATGTATTGTGACCTTGTTATTGTTGCTGAACACTGTGCTGTTGTTTACGGAGTCTTCGAGAATTATTGCAGTGGCTAGGTGTTCTCTAATTCATGGCGTTGCCTTGCCTGAGTTAGAGAAACATTAGAAGTCGGCCAACAGATGAAGGTGTGACTGGGTATGAACTCCTCACTAAGGCTGAATACGTTCGCGTTTTCGGCGTTTATAAAGTAAGTTCAGAACAAAGTCTATTTTCATTGATACTTACTGATTCTCACTATACTGCCTTGCAACATTCTACTGTCAAATGGAAGCATGTGGCTGTACTTGTCGGTCGTAGATTAGTGGTCCACCTCTCAAATCGGACGAAATTTGTCTAGTGTTTCAAGGTCTGTTACTAGGTTGTCTGCAAGCAACAAAGCTGCCGATGATGCTGGTTCGTAGTTCACGAGCTTATTGGTTGATCAGATTTACGTCTCGCCTGCTCAGCAATATTCTAGTATGTAGTTGGTCGTTTTTCGTGCAAAGTAATTTCCGTAATGAATTGAAGGATTACGTAGGGCTCCAAGGCACTCCATAAAGGTGAATTATGGACCTGGATTAACATCGTTCTTATTTAGCAATCGGTCTTTGTCTAACGGCCGCATTAGTTCGTTTGAAGACGGATCTCGGTCGTTGTCCAACGGTGTTAAATCGTTTGTTCGTTCTTTTTGCCACTTAAAAACAGAGAGCTTCGCACTCGTTTCGCTCTTGCATATCCGTTTAATAACACAGTATCTTCGTACGTCTTTTCCTTAAGCTCAAGCCTAAAAATCACTTTTCGCTTTTAGTACTTTTCAAACGTGACTAGTTGCATTATGAAACTAAAATACTTTGTTGCTTACCTATCCGCTTTTATCTGGATAAACAAACTTCCTCCTGGTGCAATTGGTCTGGATGCTGGAGAAGTAGTAATCCTTTTCCGTCGGTTCATAGGAAAGCTGAGAGACCAACTAATATACGGTCAAGATGCGTTCTTGAGACGTAAAAACCAGCGTTTTCTATGGAGCATTCCTTGTTATACAACAAGTTTCAGCGCCGTTTTCTGGCCTCAAGCTAGTCTTCTCGTAATTCATTTTCTAAATTTCCCAATTCTACTTACTTTGTTAAACACCACCATTAAGACCAATATCAAGTTTAATACACCATCTAACATTACTGTAAGGGAGTCCTTTGTAAATATGAATAAGATCTACACGATGAAGCCATTTTGATTAATCGTATGATGAGATCGAGGTTGGATGCTCTAGAAACTTCTCCATAGTGTTTTTTTTTTCATCCAGGTCGCACTTTATTCGCGGCATCTATGGGCGGAACGCGTGCACCAAATAGCAATCCTCAAGTTCGTTCCGACTTCCGCAATAGTTGAGACACACTAAATTTGGAAAGCAAAAGCACGAACAACCAGAAAGTACTAGGAACGCAATCAAGCGGCATGGTAGTTTTCTCTGTTGGAGTTTTTGGCTAACTTCAACTGCCATGAACATTAGAGCAGCTCACTTAGTCTAGTTTTCTCTCGCCTTTTATCCTAACGACGTGCTATTAAGCTCACGCACGCTGGGCCAGGCACCTTACCCACCTCCCCTTCAACTCAAACAATTGCAACGCCGATTCTGTAATATCACCCGTTTTACTTAGATCGTTCTCGCGATAAGCATAATATCGACCTCATCCCCGTAGTTGCCTTCTGTCTTGTCTAGATTTCCCCTCATGGTTTTTGTGTTGATGCTTTTGTTATCAGGGCAATGTGAACTATTGTCGCGCTCGACAGAGTGTGATGGAGAGTCGGAAATTCTCTAAAGAGTTGCTCACAAAACTGTTCCCTATAATCGAACATGGTATGTCAGATTCTGGATCGCTGGACAATCTGCTCGAGTTCCTCTACCATGCCGGTGAGTACTCACTTCCCGAAGCAGTCATGATGATGATCCCCGAAGCGTGGCATAACATGGATCCAAGCCAAGGGGACATGCCGCAGAGCAAGTGGAATTTCTACAAATGGGCTGCCAACTGTTTGGAGCCTTGGGATGGGCCGGGTGAGTGAACAGCTGGTGTATTGGCAGGGCTGTTGCACTGATAGTTAATTGATGTTCGTAACTGTACCCTTGCTTTTGCTCTCTACCGGTCTCCTTTCATAAGCGGTCACACCACTACTAATTTCTGTTAACAGTCCTGCTGTTTTGGAGTTCGAATAAATATGGACCTCCATCCTCTATCGCCCGATTTATTGAATTATCCTCATTGATATACCTAGCTCTATTGTTGCATGATGGGACTTTCCGAAATTGTGTTTTACCACGAGCCCTCAGCCCAAACGTCGCTCAGAATTCTAAGCAACCTACTGTATTCCTAAAGCATGGATCGCTTTTTCATTTATGCCTTATTTACACAGGTGCAAAGCATCCTAAAGAGGCTCCTGGGAGTTTTTTGCAACCCTTTTTACTCGATACATAATGACCAATGATGACACTACATCCAATATCTGCCTGCACCAGTTGTGTTGTTCAGCTTCGAGTAAACTGCAGTCGAGCGAGTGTTATCCTGGTCACTCATGTCCAACAAAATTTCCGCTTTTTGGTAGTGTGCGGTTCTGGAATTTCGGTGGAGATTTCATCCTTTGAGTGAAGCCAATTTATACTGAAAGTCCGGGAAGCATTGTATAGCTGTATCATCCCTCTTGGTAATCATCAGCGTACATCTTACGAAACTCCAGAGGGTGTCGAACCCGCTACCTCTCGGCTAGTAGTTTTTCGGACGAATAAAATTTACCCAATGAGTGGGACTTCCATCTGAGATGTTGCAGTAGCTTTCAATGCGATAAACGTGTCAACACAGACCTTGTTGGCGCACTTCGTTTTTTTTTCATCCGCGTTGGTTCTTCCACTTTACCCGTTTCCTTCCTTTGTAAACTTTTTCCTTTTATCTCGATTGTGGCGCAGGGAGTGGAAAAAAAGTTGTCAAAGCTGATGTAGGTAGTTTCAACAGGCTAGTGTAGATCGACACAAAAGCGCAGATAGTCAGCCAGGGTGTGGTAATGTGCGGTACAAAACGTAAAAACGATAGCTGATGGAAACCGTATCTCCATGTAATATGATGTTATGTAGTAGCTTGCTTTCCAGATAAAGGAAATTCAAGTACAGAATCGGAATACTATAATCCGAGGAACAGAATGGAGCGCACTCATAGGCAGTGCAGATGTACCGATTACAGACAGATCAGTTCAATATCCGCTGGAAAGCTGTTGAGAATCTCGAGAAGAGATGCAAAAAGACCTATTTATATCGGAAATAGGAATGTACAATTCTGGCTTCACATACGTCACAATGCCCTCCCTCTGTTACGAAATCTGATAGTGGTCAACACAAACAGGTCATAACCCTCCAGTATCAATGTGGGTGCAACTAGTGCTCTCGGAGCACTATACCCCATATATATACATATATATATATATATGTATAATATACATGAGACAGATGTTTAGGGAAGTGCACGGTCTTTCCTGTTTGGCAAAAAATCACTGATGGGGGCACCGCTGTGATTTACATTTTATCTTAAATTTTATCCAACCAACGAACTGCTCATTCCACTCAGCATGTTTGAGAATTGTGCATATCTGCCAGCGTCCCACGTTTCTATAGCATTCGTCCTTTAAAAAAAAACGGAAATTCGTAGGCATTTTGAACGACTGAATTTCAGTATTGTAACTTTTGAAAACGGTAAAATAAAATATAGGGTTCATTCGAAGTAGGATATGAGATGACATATCATAAATTTATTAAAAATGGACAAGTTAGAAAGCGTGATCACTTTGAACGTCTTTCCGGGGATGGAGGCCAATTTCTAACAGTTCGCAATGTTCGGACAGTTTCCGTCTTGCGTTAGCAAATACTTTGAAAGGAACTATATCAGGTAGGGGAACAATTGGGTCACGCTGAACGTTGACTCTCTTCTCTTTTTATAGCTTTCTAGACGGCACATCCTTTCGTAAGCTTCTATCAACCTGGAGACAGCGCAAGTGCGCTATCCGATAGAATCAGCTATCAAACATCTCATATAACCATTCTGTACACACGAGGTTCACTGGTGCATCCGAAACTGAACGTTTAGTTCACATGCTTAGCGAACGCGCACACTTTCGTGAATCGGTCAGAAATGTATCGCCTGGTTGTGCCAGACATTAGAAGTATCCAGGACGCTTCCATTTTGGTGCTAAACACTTCAACACTGCGCAGTTTTGACAATTGTAGCCACACCACTTGTTCGGACAGACTTCGTCTTATCCTATTTATTCACCTTTTTAAGTTGGCTTTTCCAATGTGATAAAGGTGTTTGTGGGTTAAACTGAATTAGTGTCCGTAGGGACTGATCCAAATGACAGCGGTTCTAGGTAATGCTTTATGACTGTGTCATCAGTAGTGTAACAGGTGCCAATTGATTTGGAAAACGATAACGCTTGACACGGAGTTGCAGTCAGTAATGACCGGATGTAAGGTAATGACGTGCAAGTGTGTGCGATGTACTGTATACCCTCTTCACACCGTCACTCACTACAACGATGCCCTCACCCACGGAGTTGCGCAAATGACTTCAATATTGTATTCGCCAATCTAACGCTGCTCCCGCAACACCTGTCATTTATCACTCCAAACATCCTGGTTTTCACACGGGCCGCATAATTCAATGAATTCCTAGGCGTGGCAAGAAAAAAACTTACGCTCTGATCGTGCTCCTCAATTTCAAAACAAGCTCAACCACACCATCTTCGTTCGCGTATTTGCTGGCTGTTGCAGTTGGACGTTGACAAACCGTAGAGGATTACCGATTTCTGCAGTTTATTTGATAATGCGATCGGTTGAGCCGTACTTGTTCATTTGGTCACGTCCTTTAAGCATATGACTCTACGCCGGTATATGTGGGTTAGGTTACGCTTGAGCGTGATCGTCTGGCGTCATCCGGGGAAAAGACACGTATACAAGAGCCGCAGTGTCAATAATGACGTGACGACTACTATGACTACTCACGACCAGTGCTGTTTTTGTAGCTCACTTAGAATTTATCGGTGTAGCGGTATCGCCTATTCGGTTCGGTACGATACATTTATCAAGAACTTGAATCCGTGTACTTTTTTGACAAGCGTCAGAGTACGCATGAACTGAAAATGGGAATGGCGAAAGATGTCTGTCATCCATGCACCTGAAACGACAGCAGCATACTAACTGGTTGAATGGTATGGGACATGCAGAGATTGTCATTTCACGAGCAAACAGCCCCACTGGCCGCTGTTTCGCTCAAATGCTTAAGATGAAAATTCCTGAAACATCTCTGTACATCTCAAGACTTCGTTATACTGAATGGATGAATTAATTCAGACGATGACCTCGTGAGTTCATAGAGTCTGAAGAGCGCGATGAAGCGTGGGACCTGCCTGAAGTTCAACAAAATCTATGATCGCCAAAATATGTTGCTTAACTGATGTTAATTTTTTGGAGGCTGCGCATTCAGAGACCATGGAGGACACGGAACCTGATGTGGTTGACAAAATCGTCGGTGAGAAGGTCTCCGGGGACGTGATGTAACAGAACCTCATAAATGGGTTGGAAAAGGGCTTTGTCATTCTTCGATCTTGTTAGAACATCATTTTTGCTTACCTTCAGTATATGCCAAAAAGCGAACAGTGGCGTTACAAAGATGGGAGGTAATAAGTTTTCAGTGCATCATACCCCTTCCTGTTCCTTATTGGATGATGGCCCCATCAACTGCCCGCATGAGTACTACCCTCCGTTAACGACCACTTGATATTGTATGTTTAATACGCATCTCTCAGAACTAGAGAACTCACAGCTTTGCAGAGTTTTCGCTTTACTAGCTCTCGATTGATTTCGGAGTGAGGCGGCCGTTTGTCAGCCTAAACATCTCGTCTGGTGTATCCATCAGAGGCCTAAGACCATCGCCGGGCTTAAATAAACCGACTAGTTTAAGTTGTTTCGGTGTTTATGTTTTAGAACAAGAGTCAAGTAGACATATCAAAATAGTAGAACCCTCGCTAAATTGAGCAAGCGGTCACTGCAATTTATGGATGCTGTCACACCAAAACCTAGTTGAGAGCTCTTTTTTCCTAGTGTTTTACTCTCAAATAAATGATCACAACAGACCTGCTTTTCAGTCTGTGTTTATTCAAGTAGAGCTTGTTCCATTTCAACATGGTTCCCCTGAACTCTGTCCTCATTTTCAGCTCTGGTCGCGTTCACGGACGGGCGCTATATTGGCGCAGTGCTCGATCGAAACGGACTCCGTCCAGCTCGATTCTACGCGACTGACAACGATATGGTCTACATGTCTAGTGAAGTCGGTGTAGTTGACATTCCTGCCGACGTACGTGTTATACAGAAGGGACGTCTCAAACCCGGACGACTGCTGATTGTGGACACTCAAGCTGGTGGTCTTCTCGACGATGAACGACTAAAGTTGGAGATCGTGGAGAAGTATCCTTATGCAGAGTGGTTGGATAAAGGGGTTAGTTCTGCTCCTACTATTTGAGCAACTGTTCTGAAGATCCTAATTTATACACGTATTTGATATCGCTCACCATATGGTGGTCCGGATACTCGAATTTCATCCCATTTGTTCAACAGTGAAATTCAGCTTATTTCTATGGCCAGTAATTCTGGGTAATAATAATTTCTCCTCTACCTAGAGGTAAAAAATTACGGTAAGAACCCCACACCTGGTGAAAATCCATGACATTAATAATTACACACAACTGTCAAGTTTACGGACTTTGAAGTCGACCACATTCTTCACTTAAGAATAACTTTCACCCCTGGGTTGATGTTTATCTCACTGGATCTTGAACTGAAAAGTCCAAGTACACGTAACATGAGTGAAGAGACACTCCTGGTCTGTTGATTTGTAGCCAACTGAACACTTCCTCGGCTTAGGTCAGTCACTTGGTAAACTCACATACTATTCTTCAGGCTCATGTAGTTTTCACAAACGTTTGATCCCATGCCTAAGGGTGACGATTAACGAAGGCAAATTGTTACCGAAGAGTTCTTTCGATGCGGTAGTTTCTGCAGTAAACCAGTCTCTAATACTATGGTCATTGTAAGGATCTCGCGACCTAATAGGACGCTGAAAAGACAAGTTCAAAACATGTTTTCCCAGTTCAACTTCGAGAAGCTCCGACGGGTTAAATTACGTCTGCTCATTCAGTCATTCTCCTCATGCAGCGACAAATTGAATATGGTACCAGGCAATGCTGGTTTCAATTGCATTAACCCACCTGTGTGTATTAATCGGAATGACTAAGTTGGTTCTACTTAAGATGTCTGCTTGCTTAATTGCAAACTTCTTCAATTTGTTGGTCATCTAATTCATGTGACCGCCCTGATATGACAAAAACGTTCATACAATTTCGTTTTATCAATAATTGATCAAGTAACCATATACCACTAGACGGGAAAGCTTCTTAGATGTCAGGTATCCTGTAAATCTCAAATCATCTGAACTTATCCGTTATTGACCAACATTTTAGGGGTAGTTACTTTGTAGGAGCTGGATTTGCTACGGAAGAACAATAAAGCCTCTCGTTTCCGCTCTCTTGAGGCTTTTTCTCATTTTGCTTTGATTGTGCTTGGCGAGTGTTCCTGTACATTCTCGATCACACTTTCCAGTGAGTTTCTCTAGGTAATTGTATCTTTGTTATCGGACCATAAGTGAATCACTAAGCTCGAGACTTGTAGCTAATGGAGACTTTTCGCACCTCACTAACCAACATTCCCGCCGTGTTCTTTTTTCAGGCTATCAGTTTATCCGAGCTGCATACAATTGCATCCTCTGATAACTCGGATGCGAACAACCATCCTCTGGGTGACGACTCATCCGTACTAGATGATCGGCGCCTGCCATTATTTGGTTTCAATCCGGAGAACATCAACCTGCTCTTATTACCAATGCTGCGAACCAGGTGAGCTTGTACTATCTTCCAGATGCCTCCCTTCCGTCCTTCTATCAGGACATTTCTTTAGTGTGGGTGCTCTGAATAGTACATATGGCTTCTTTTCATGCACATCAACAAATATTGGATGGTGCGCACGATTTGTCGACTGCACACAGACTGTTATTTCTCGGTTTGTTTTTCTTTTCCATAGCTTATAGGCCTACCCAGACAAGTTGTGCACCTAGCTATCTCACCATGATACTCTGATTGCCCCACAACACGTTTGCTAACTCCTGAATCACTGCATCCACTGCATTCACAGCAAAGAAGCCTTGGGTTCGATGGGAAACGATGCCCCACTTGCGTGCCTGTCCGAGCAGCTTCCTCATGTGTTTGACTACTTTCAGCAGTTGTTTGCCCAGGTGACCAACCCTCCTATCGACCCCTTCCGTGAACGTATTGTTATGACTCTGGTAAGTGAGGCTAATTAGGTGATGTACAACACCAATCTCTTGTTACACGACTGACTTTCTTGGGACGTGCATTTCTAGCATTTGTAGTGACCGGTGTTTTCTACCTTAGGTTTGGTGTCCTTGTCTGCCCAGCTCAACGGTAGGCTGAGACATTTTCATGAAGCAACTGTTTTGTTCCCATAACTATTTTCTCTGCTTTGAACTGCCCGCTGTCAGACATGTCCGATCGGACCCCAAAAGAACATTCTAGTACATTCAGAATTCCAAGTTCATCGACTCTGGTTGCCACATCCCATACTGTCTCTGGATGATATGCGTCTGATACATTCGCTTGACGGAACGCTCAAGGACAGGACAGGCCGAAAGGAAACTTGCCAGGTACTTACCTGGCGGAGTATGACGCTTGACGCCACATTCGAAGCAGAGACAGATGGGATGTACTCACTGGGCTGGATGCTTCAACGCGCACTAGAGCGGTTGTGTGATGTTGCCGAGAGGGTCGTACGTAGTGGAGAGGTGCAACTGTTAATTATTAGTGACCGAGCTGCTGGTGCCTGTCGTGTCCCGATTCCGTCACTGTTAGCCGTGGGTGCAGTGCATCAGCGTCTTCTACGACATCAACTCCGTATGCAAGTTGGTCTAATAGTCGAAAGTGGTGAGGCCAAGTGAGTTGACAATTGAAACACCATTGCCGTGTTAGTTTTATAATTACGTTTTCTTTGTTATTGCCGTTATTCCCGCCGACTGAGCAGCAACTGAAGAGAAAAGGGCTGATTCATGTCAATCAGTTTTGACAATCGATTTGTAAAACTGTATGTTGATTCGGGTTGTCACAGCGGCTCCAATAGTCGTTGCATTTTAGTTCGGACGAACATCTGTCTAAACTTCATGGATAGTGTTTCTCGGCATTGACACAGTGAACGTTGAATGATGGCTGAGAGTAACTTCGAAGCAACTTTCAGCATCATATTGCGATGGGTTTTGCAGTCCGAGCAATGTCCCTTTTAGGAATAGGGACGATCGTAGCAGTATCCCTTATAGCAGGTGTTTTTTCCAAGGCCCAAATCACTCCATACACTATTTAGTTTTGTTAGATACAGGGGAGCGATTTTCGAACAATGCAGACCAGGGTTCGTGCGTGCCTAACTCTGGTCCTTTCAGGGGATTTCAAGACCTCACAAATAGTTGGTAGATCTGTGTTTTCGGGACATTGTGTGCTGATGGCAAGTCAGGGTGGATAATTGGAGACCTGAATGCAGTTGTATCTTACCTGACATCTCGAACCCAACCTTTAAGAGTGTCCTATAAGCAGGTTGTTAGGTTACTTTTTTTTACCAGGTAACGCTTGACACACATTCACTGGTTTTCGCTCAGCTGCCCCGATTAACCTGACTAGTTTCTGGGAATTTTCAAAGATCTATGCATCTCCAGACTATCATCGCCGAAGGTTGTTTCACAGAGGTGGATGTTTGTACTTTTGGCTCCTCCCTGGATGGAACTGGTATCCAGGAGAAATGCCAGACATCCAGTCTGTTGCGTAATCATGCGTCTCAACATTGAAGGCTAGTTCGCACTGAAACCCAGTGAAGACTTGTGGTTCAATCAAGCAGACATTTTCAACCCTTCTGATATGAGATTTGGAGAATTCATCAAGATGGGCAATGTGATTTTGCTTGAAGATCCTGCGCGTACCATTTAATTCGATGGCCTAACCTATAAGTCAACGGATGTTGGGGTTTTTTCGAGAATCAAAGTGTATGGTCCATTAGGCGGTGATGGGCTTGCGGAGCCCGGAGGCGCAGGAATCACAGCGCTGGAGTCTTACCCTTTATCTTATCGTGCTCATCCTGCGCTGTTTGAGGATCAGTTTGACCGGTGGTTAGGGACAAACGATGTTTATTCAGATTGTACAGTTTCCAGGTCGGTATTTTTTCACCTCTCTGCAAGCATCGCTGCTTGCATGGATAAGGAGGTACTGGCCGCTTGTCACAGGATCTCTTTTGTCTCACTCTTCTTTCGCACTGTAAGTTTACCCCAAGAACGATCCATGGTGCGATTTTGTCTGGAAAATGAACTCAACGTCCTTCATCGGATTGTCCCTAAACGCCATAAATGAGCCCTCAGAAACTGAGCCTCAGCCCATGCAGCTTGCAAGGTCTTGCTCCACTGAGGCTCAACCATTACGATGAGCTGGTAGCATTGTCCGGGAGGACCGATTCAGAAACCTTTAAATTACCACTTATACTGAGTTATTAATTCCCGAAATCAAATGTCCATTGAAATAAGGGTTTTGAACCATTTCGCATCAACTCTTGTTGTCCTGGTCCCACTCCCTACCAAGTTTTCCCAGGGAACCAAAGACGAATAATACCTACCACCGAGCAGAAGTTTGGACAACAATTATTTGTACGGTTTTGTTACGTAGGGACGTTCATTTTTAGAACTTGAACACCAAGTTTATTTCATCCATACATGTAGGGTACATGAGAAGGGAAGTCATCTTTTATGGGTGACCCAACCTTTCCCATAGGTGCGCATGGTGAAGTGTCTGTCTACATAGTGGCATCCAGTTAAATTCAAATAATCAACTATAAACCGCGTATCATAGTTACATCGGTTCCAGCTGCTACAATTTCGATAATCGGAAAAGGGGAGAATGTGGGACATACAGCCAAGCTTTATTTAGCTCAGGAACTGGGTAGGTGCTTATCGAAGGCGATAGCTTCGATGCACGAGTACCATTGACTGCGCGATTGGGCCATTTCTGCCAATGTCATTAGCCGTTGGTGAGTTGAGTCTCGGGGGATGGCAGTTGCCCACCCGACTAAGTTCACTGGTTAGTGTTTTTGTACTTCGTTGCCAGGTTATACGCGATTGGGCATTTCTGCCAATGTCATTAGCCGTTGGTGAGTTGAGTCTCGGGGGATGGCAGTTGCCCACCCGACTAAGTTCACTGGTTAGTGTTTTTGTACTTCGTTGCCAGGTTATACACTGTCCAACCCTCAGTCGTTTCCAGTCAGCACAGGCTTGGCAAAAAGTGCTCTGTGAGGTAGACGGTCTTCTGGCATGTGGAGTACGTGTCTTAACTGGCGTAACTTATGAAGCGTGAGTAATTCATCTATCGCCGGAGAGTTCCTTTTTCCTGAGACCATCTGGCATACCTCACCACTACTAATCCGATGTTCCCAAAAGACCTGACCAATGCTTCGGAGACATCGATGGTCAAATACTGACATCTTCCGCATGTCCTCAGCGCGTAAGGGCCAGATTCCTGATCCATAAAGCGGTATGGATCGCACCACTGCAGTGTAAACTCTGCACCTGACAGACAAACTCACGTCATCTAGGCGCCATAGGTTTCGGAGGTTGGCAAAAGCTGCCTGGCTTTTCAGATTCGAGAAATAATCTCATCTCCAGCCAGTCCCCGGTACTTATACAACTACTCAGGTAAACAAATTTATCCGTGTCCGCGTCTAGTGCCCTCATAAGAAAAATAAATTTGAGAGGGACACCTTCGATTGCCAGGCACCGCCAAATTTTCTCAGATGGAGAAAAGTAACAGATGTGGGACGGTTGAAGGAGTGACACTGCTCAAGAACTTGTCCCAAGGGAAAGATATGGTCGATGCATCCTCGGCCAGGACGAAACCCAGCTTGAGTTTTACGAATCTCTCGCGACGATCCATCAACCTACGCAAAATAATGCCAGAGAGCACTTTAGATGCGACAAATACCAGGCTGATGCCACGGTGGTTTTCACGTTTTTGCGACCTTTTTGAAAGGTTGGATGACGGCCGAGAAGCTCGATTTGGCTGGTATTCTGTTTTCGTTCCAAATCTTCTGCAGTATGGATGTTAGACTGTTCACTAGGACATCGCCGCCTACGAAGAACGCGAGGTTCAGGCCATCTGGACCAGATGCTTTGGCGCGCTGTAGAACTGAAATCGCACACTGGATTTCTGCGTTGATGGTGAATTGGTGTCGATATTCCATGCTCGCCCGCTCGGCTATTCCGGTTGTTTTGTTGGAAGAGACCAACTGAACGGCTTTTTGAAGTGCTCAGCCCATCGCTCAAGACGACGATCGAGGGGGCTAATAACTGTTCCGTTTTGAAAGAGACCGACAGCACGAACACCACTGACATCGACCGGCTGACAATTCTCGCCATCGTTCGACATCCGTGCCACAGTTATGACTGCGTCTACATTCATAATAATCTGTATTAGAAGCCAAGGGAAGCTTTGTGCAGTTTACTCCATTTGTAGGTTCCGACTTGTACTTCATTGAGTACCTTATCTACTGCACGTGTATTCATCCTTGCCGTTTTCTCAGAGAAATACATCACTTCTGCACCCTAATCGGTTTTGGTGCCGATGGAATTTGTCCCTATTTACTATTCGAATCGATCGCTCGTCTGGACGCCGATGGCTTGCTTGTTAACACTCAGATGGACCTCGCCGACGTGTATGAGAAGTGTACTTCTGCCGTACAAAATGGTATTTTCAAGGTAATTCGATTGGTAGCTGGAAAATACTTGGTCTTATTCCCAACGAAACGGAGAAAGTCTTGTTTACAACAAGAAGCATTTAGTGTTCATTTTTTGCTCAACTCAAGTCATATTTGTTCGGATTTGCGTATTCCGTTCTCTAAATCATTGTATTCATTTGAACTACTGGTTACGATGGTTGGTAATGTTTTGGAATATTGGTAGCTCGGGTGTACGACGGTGTTTTTTTGTTACTCAAACCAGTTCGTCAGCTCCATATCGCGTTCGCCATGCCTCACTAACTCCAAACACGAGGTTTGCATTTCCCTTTACCCGTGATATTCAGAGTATCGTTTTCTACTCACGTTTGCGCGTAGCAGTGGACTTCGTGCTTGATGCTATCTCAAATTAATTTTTGTCATTGGTACATTCTCTTATTCTGCCCCGAAGTATTGATGCGCTATGGAACACAGATGTGCCTGGTGCGGTATCACCTTTATGGATGTCTGCCAATAAAGACCTATCCGTTCTTTTTATTACGTTCCTTTTTCATGTTAAAATATTCTGGTATTTTTGAAAGATGTAGAGGTAATCTTTCTAGGGTATCTTGAAGTCCCATAAAGATTCCCCTGTTTTAGGTTTAGGTGTTTTTAGGTAGGTACGGGGTACTTAACCCAGAAATTGAGCATCCTTTGAGACCTTGGACCTCCATCGAGATAATATGACTCCGCTCTTGTCGTCTGAGGAGAGTTAGCGCGTGGAATTCTCAGATTGGCAACGTTATGGCTTTGCCCACTATACTGGCTAAACGGTTCCTATCTTTGTTAAAACCTAGTAAACGGTTATCATTCGGACCTGGAGTCCGATTGATTTCCGTCATCAACATTAGCTTACTAGCACAAATCATCCTCAATTAATTGTTACATTGCGTGGAAAATCTCGGTACCGCTGGACAAGCTCGGCCCCACAACCTCAATTCTTATCTTATAACCCGTCCAGATTTCTTGTTCCTGACCTAAACATGTGAGAAAATTCCCGACACCACCCATAAGGACACTCAATTTGCTATCAGGCCTATCGTTTAGCTCTTTATGTGCATTTTCCCCTTCGTGTGGAGTTAAAAAATAACCCGGTCATCATCCCTTATTACCAACGATGTGATGGATTGTCTGCAGGCTTGACCCCCAAAAGACTGTTGCACTAGTCCTATCTCGCCTACTTTGACACGGGTACCACTTGCTTCAAGTCCATTCTGTTGCTTTGTGGAATTCCTTTTTCATCATTTTGTTTTCAGCTCACGTAACCAATCCGTTTCAGTCTATCTGTATCTATGGTTTTGGGAAGTGAACTGTTATTGGAAAAAGCGTTGACTCCAATCACCCCTAATTTTTAGGTTATGGCGAAAATGGGCATTTCCACACTGCACAGTTACAAGAGTGCCCAAATATTCGAAGCTGTCGGATTGGCCAATTCTGTGATAGACATGTGCTTTAGTGGGGCAGCCAGTCGAATTGGTGGTGCAGATTTCGATATTTTGGCAAAGGAGACGCGCGCAAGACATTTGTTGGCCTATCCTCAAACTGTTTCCGTTCCAAGGATGATCAATCAGTTCGCCAGAAATCCCGGGTTTTATCATTGGCGCCAAGGAGGTGAATCGCACATGAACGACCCGGAGACAGTCGCCAAATTACAGGTGAGTTGTGTTTACGGTTATCGCCCTACTATTCTCATGGTTATGAGGTCTCAGTTTTGTGCTGCCGTAATTGTACCCATCATACCCCGACTTCACCCTTTGTTCGACTCAATAGCTTCTTCTCTGAGAACAGGTCAAAGTTGTGTACTTTTATGAGGACTGCTCTTAGGACTATTGCCTGTGGCAACATTTTCCACAGCCGTAGTCAAATTCGGCGGCCTGCAGGAAGTCATAACTATACTATTCCGCTTGAAATGAGTGCCGTGTAAGTTCAGTGTTTATATTTCATTTTCGGGTGTCCGAATGAACTCGCCAGGTCTGTTGGAAACCATGACTTACGTGAGTGTTGTTCCTCGCATAGAATCTATTCCGCTTTTATTCCTGATCGCCGAAAAATCGGTCGTGATCAATGGATTTGGTTACCGCAAGCTTTCCCAAAGGCCGATCTTATATTCTTGACCAGAACGGGCGTATACCACTGTTCCTCACTGAAGGCTTGCCTATTTTCTTTTTCCATTCCCCGGTAGGAAACAAGAGAAATTTGACTGTTATCACGTGCCCACGTAGTACGGGACCATATGTGGCGTATGCAATTTCAACACTAAGTACTTAGCTGGGCACGAAGTATATAAATTATGCATTATGAAGGGTTGCGAGGGTATGCTAGGCTCATCTTATTTGGTCACTAGTCAAGACAAATTCTCACTCTTTTACTGGACTTTGCCGTCGGTAACCTCGTACTGGATTTGTGTATCTAGGAGAGTAAAGTTGTGAGTTTGGTTTCAGTCTGGTCTGTTTAAATATTTAGGCATCGCGCTCTCTGAATCTGTTCTCACTACCATCCGTTCGCTTTAGGTTCAATTGGACCGACATACATCAAAGACTGAACGCTGGCATATTCTTTACCTTCCCATCTGTAATTCTCACTTTCACAACGTCAATTTTTCACATCACTAGAGCTGTTCCGAGATGTTTTGTTTCTTAGTGTATTTGCTCCGTCATAAACAGATTCAATGTGTTGACGTTGGACAGTTGGGTGATATCTTACGGAACTACATACGCTTCAGTTTGCCCGTCAAAAATCTGTTTCTCTAAAGCTGTTTTAAGCCACTCAACTGGGACCCGTTGATGTACCTTTTCAATTGGGGATAGGCCGTTAGATGTATTGGTACTATAGCCTCTTTCCAGCGATAGCAAACTCGGCCAGGCAATGATTTTATTTATGAAGCGTTATTTTAATTTGTTGGAAGTCCGGTTTTTTCTACTTGAGTTAAATATATCAGAGATTCTCCCGACATTGCTGGTGATGATAAGGTAGATGAAGCATTGCACTTTCTATTCCAAAAACAAATGAAAATAACAACTACGTTTGAAATGTGGCGCTACCCGGGAGGTAAATATGGTCGGGGTGCCATGACAACTAAACCACTGGACCACTTCGGATGAATTCTGAGGAGTAGGTATTGAGCATCACATCAAAAAATATACAATTGGGCAGATCGATATCTCTCCTGCAAGGGCAGTTAGTATCAGAATAGTGAAAGTAACAAAATCCTCACACGGGCAGCCTGGCATCACACATGTAAACTTGTTGTTGTCCATCACTGTCGAATTAGCTTGGAATCCGCTGCGCACAGATCCAGAATCAGCTTGGGTTGATCAACGAACCGCGAAGCGCGGTAGTATTTTCAGCGAAACTTGTTCGCCATAAAATTCGAAAAAGCTGAAACTGTCCAACACATCATTGGAAGTTAGGCGACTTCACCGGTGGACGAAAATCCTCGAAATAAAATCGAAGCGGTAGCACTTCTAGGCATCGTCCCGAACTGCAACATACGCATTATTATCGCACTAACATATAAAGTATGAACCAGAGACATTCTGCAGTGTTTACAACAGCCTTGATCACGTGGGCCTCATCATGCAAGACGGATCATCTCAACAATAATCAAGCTTCTCGTGATCTCTCATCTCTGCCTACTCGGTCACACACTATCTGCTTTATGGTCTGCATCATTCTAAATGTAGCACAGAGAGTAGCGTTTGTCACGTGTGTCAACGACTCGGCATACTTAGAATGTGTTCGAGACATCGTAATTATGGTTTAGGATTGACACCGGACTAGATAGCAACGGTTCTGACAAATCGGAGACCGACCAACGATACATTTTTGCAATTCGTACCATAAGACAAAACCATCTTGGTCTGTCATCGATCGCCATTTCACGTATGTAGCTTTGTTTAGCAGTTTGCTTGTTTTTCTACTACCGCGTAACCCGCCGGACAACCGTTGAAAACATTTGTTTTTGTTTTCTTATTAGGTAAACTTGAAATAAACACTGTAGTATCCCGACCAGACACTACGAACTGAACCTTAATTAGTTTAGACCTGTCAACGAATAATAGCCCTCCCGGAAGAGACGATATTGCTGAACCATAAGATTTCCACTCTGTGGTGCCCGAACAAAGCAGTAAACCAGGGCACAGAAAGAAACGCGTTATACAAGCAGTCTCAGCATTTGTCGTAGTTGATTGGGCACTTCATCTTGATTGACGAATGTCATCGCTCTTTCACTGAAAAGAGTTGGATGGTGTCTATTTCGCTCGGTTCTTGAAGTTCGCACATCAGGGTGTGAGCATCGACTACATCTCGGCTGCTTCTGTCTAGGCCCGGATAACCTGACAGTATCTCAGCGCTCGTCCCCTGTTCGAGTGTTATGACGGCTGTGAATCGAAAAGGTGGACGACTGTGCAGTAATTAGTGTGAACGGGAAGTAAACTCGTCTGTGATGTTTTTCGGCCAAACGTGCAAACCACAGGCTTCCTCCAGGTCCGGTTTGGCCGATACTCAAGATATCAAAGCGCTTTTTCACTGTTGGTAATTACACATAAGATGTGTTTGCTGATAGCATGGGATATTTCTGGAACCCGTTTTTTATTTGAAAAAAACGTTCTGGAATGTTACGCAAAGACAAGTTATCTCTAGTTTCCATGTACTGTTACTGGCACAACTGACTGCTTATAAGGCTACTGAAAACTCTTGATCAGTTATTGGGGCCCACCAGCGGGTTCATTTGGTAGATATCGTTAATGACAGATTCAGTTGACACTCCCGGTAACACTTATTTACTTTGGAAATTGGTGCGTTTCTCCAATTAATATTCATTTGTTAAACTGGCTGCGAGCAAAAGAGCTTAAACCGGATTCTTGGGACTACCTACTGTATTTTCTACAATTTTCCAACAATAAACGGAGCAAGTGATCCCGAAAGGTGTGACCTATTGGGGAGGCTACCTTATCCGAAGTCCCCATGGCAATGATGTCACTTATTAGGATATAATTCTTAGATGTTCGAACGGAGTTCATTTTCAAATTTAACTTATCCAGGACGTCTTCAAATGAGACCAAATGTCTTTCTCTTGGCCTATAAAAGTGAAGATTCGAAAATGACAGGTGGACAATACTTGCGTTATCACTGGTGAAACATGGAGTGATTCCTCTCTTCCTCGCCCACTCAAAGGCCTGGCTGTTCTGGTACTCAATTCTTAAGTTCTTGTGGTTGCCTGGAAAACCCCTGAGTTCATGCTGCAGCCCTAATTTCAGGGTGCTTACATAGTGAACGAATATAACAGTGCAATTCATATAGATTCTCCAGTTATGGGTTGGTGACATTCTAGGGGACACTGAGTTCATTATGTGATTTTCGGCATGCATGCATTAGCGTTTAGCCACTTTGATTGGTGGTGCATCTGTCGACTGTCTGCTGTTGTTACTTACGTGATATAAATCACGCATCAAGATGTTTAGGACGTCCTAGTTACACCCATTTTCCGGGTATATTTGTTACGGCTGAACGAGAACAGCGCTATAATTGAGAGGGCATTAGAAAGTCACCATGCTTAAATGCCACCTGCGTCTACTGGCTGTCAATGTGGAATGGTTAAGCGGCTTCAAGGTAACACATCAATTTTAGTCTGCCGCTCCCTGCGCAAAACAACGAAATCAATTCTCCTTATTGAGCTTGAGCGGACTTTTCAAAATAGTAATAGCTAGTTATTATCACTTGGTTATAACAAATGACTGAGTAGAACGGGGAGCGTTAACATCAGATCCCGCCTTGATGAATTGCTTCCCTCCATACTGATTAAATCAACAGCTCCAAATCAAAACGTAAAGGACCAGTGGAGAATACAGGGACAGGGAAAAAACAATATACCCGTATTGTTTGTTGTGATATCCGGGTAAGCATATCGATTGATCTAATCGGTTTTCCGCTCAATCTTCAATGATTTTCGGATGACCGTCTCCCCCGAACATGTATAATGTCGAACATCTTTTGATGAGTAACGTCCGAATCACATATTTCGATCTGATTCTGGCTGATTGTTTACGAAAACCTCTACGTAGCCTAACGAAATCCTATTGAATCAATTAAAGCAGCTTAAGCATGTACCGCTAAGTTGAAAATAAATGGGTAGTCAATTAGATGGGACTTACATAAATGCCATCCGTCTACTCACCACCCACTACAGGGTTCAAATAAAAATACCATTCTCTACTCAGCAACCCGCAGCCCTTAGGCTGGATTTTGAGACATCGTCAGGTTCTAATCGGAATTGATTTATTGTGTTACACTTTATCCACTCCTATGGGTTAGTTCCGAGTCGAGTTCTTGCTAAACTATTCACACAGCTCGGAGGAAAATGCATGCCGTCCACCGAACTCCAGGTCCAATCACATGGGCGCTTGGTTGGTGGTCCCACAATTTGGTCAAGTCCCATGAGACGATGGTGATAACAGCGATCGCAGCCATGCAATAAATCCACCAATCATTTACTGAGTTTTCGAAACTAAGCTTCACAAACTCCCTTCGCAGTATGCGTGTGCGCGCTTACCAGGAGAAAACTCGTTCCTCCTATATCACAATCAGCACTCTCCGAGTACATTTTCGTCGATGATTGTAGATTGGTAGACTTCTTTTTTAAAGCTACCATTTATTACCTTCTTCACCTGTAGGCAGCAGCGCGAAATAATAGCAGGGAAGCATATCAGATGTTTGCTGAAGCTGCGGATCAGAGTAGTCGACAATGCACATTGAGGGGACAGCTGGACTTTGTCTATGCTTCACAACCGATTGATCTGGATTCAGTCGAACCCGCTTCAGAAATTGTGAAGCGCTTTTCAACGGGTAAGTAAATTTACCCTAAAACCTCAACTAAAGTTCAAACACACAGGTATCTCTCTTGTTATTTTTGCACAATTAAGTCGACCATGCATCCAGATCCGCTGATGAAATATGTAACACTTATTTCGGGTGTTTTTTGTTCTGAAGTGGTGGTTTTACTGTTTGTATCTCTTCGACTCATTTTATCTAAACTACGAGATGAAATAAGTTGCGAGATACTGGCAATATGAATTGCTTTCATCATACGCAAACGTAAAATGCTCAAGGTTTTTATGCATCACTTACGGTTGAACCTAATGGACTCGCAATAGCGATGCCGTCCAATTACCTATGAGCAGCTCATTCGAAGTGAAAGTGAATGTTCCCTGTGCACAACAAAATAAGATCCTTAGGCAGCGCCATGGGGACATCCGAAGAACTATCAGTTATAGGGATACGGTCACTGTTTCTTCCAATGAGCCTTTAGTAAGCAATTAGTTGACGTCAATGGCTCAGTTTGACAACCATGAACCGTACACGTATATTCGATTGTTCGGGTCGCCACAGCTTATGCCAAAGGGTTGTGTAGGATAGAGGTGATACGGAAGAACATTTCACGAGAACAAAATAAAAAGCAACGGGTCTGTGATTTGAGACAGGTGAACAGATACAGCACAGTCGTTGGTTATATGACATCGCCATACCGGCGAATACCTCCAACCATGCGTTTGATGCCCTAACAACACAGACGATATGTACCAATGCGGCCAGCATCTTTTGTTCTGTATTCCGTACACAATCCCTAGGTCCTATACAGTCCAATTTGTGGTGTCTTCCAATTGGAACCTGACTCAGCATACAGGGTATGACGGAACAATCGATCCATTGCGTACGGAGCACCTTACCCAGTCAGCGTATTCCTTACACTCGGATCAGCTCATCCGGCTGGCAGCTAACTGGTTGCTAAAAATCGTTCGTCGCCATTCAGTGATATTAGCTCGACGTTCCCATGATTCATTTGTAATGCTTCGAAGGCTCCGGTGATGAAAGACCAACACTCTTCGCTTGTCTTCAATGCACAACAGCCAGGATTTACGAACGTAAGGTAGCACTGGACGTACTGTGCTTTCACCGACAGACTAATGTCATGTCAACTGTGGAAGCGCCCAAGTTGAAGGAAAACAGAACGGGCTTTAGCAATTATAGCATTCACTTCATCAGCAATGCCGCCACCCAACATGGTGCAGCTGACCAGATAGGCATATGTGTTCTGATGCAATGATAAGCTTTGATGGTGCACTCGCATAACAAAAGTCATGACGTTACTTAGCTTAGTGTATTTTATGTTTGGGCGAAATGTGAACCAAGTGGCTCAATATCGTCCGCATGCAAAGAATCACCCTGGGAGAAGCTTGCTGTAGAGTTAGAAGATGTAGCGAACATTTCCACAATAATTAATTCGATTACGAATTTGAACGGGTGACAATTGGCGGACTTGATAGACGCCGCATTTGGTGATGATCCCAGGAGAACACTCGCCTTAGACTTTCGTACGCTCACGGGTGTTCGACTATAAGGATTGAAGAGGTGTGACAAAAAAATGTTCGGCACACATTTGGAGGGAAGACGTCACCGCAAAACAGCACGATCAACTGAGTCTTGCACTGATTTTAAGTCCAGGAAGAAAACAATTGTGCGTGGTGGTGTTCGAGTAAACATGTCAATACATTCACAACCCGGACAGAACCCTGTCTGGTTTTCACGACTCCCTACTGCTGATAAGCTTGTGTGAATTGATGTCTGTGAGCAAATCAGAAGCGATGGTGAGTAAACTGACACCGTACTCATTCCCATATTCAGATCTAACACCTTTTTTGAAGGCAGGAACAAAATCAAATATCTACCAATCCTCTGACACATCTGTCTTCCAAATGCTCTGCATAAGTTTTGTCGAATTAAACGAGTCCTCCTTTCTTAAACAAGGAGACAAACAGTATCAGGAGTTTGATTTTCATTACGTTTCAGCTTTTGTTGGGACCAAGCAATATACGTCCCACTGTAAGGCTGTTAGTGCGTCGTTCTTTTAGTTATACATGGTTGGACTTGGAGCAGTCTTTTGGACCGTCTTTCTTTGTAGTGGCTTCTTTTTCCAGTAGCTTTTGTGGTATGGTGTTGCAGATAATTTAACAGACTTTTCAACCGCTTTCAGTTGCCATTGCCTTTGCCATTTCTCGGACTTTCCTTGGGCACCACCTCTCAGTTAGTCTTGAGATTGCGGGTCAGATGTCACCTCGGAGATATCGTCTCTAGCAGAGACATGAATCACTGTAAGACCCAACTGGATTAAGCCGTAGCATCGTTTTGGGATGTACAATCAAACACTGCATTCGTAGCGTTTCGAACATCGAACCAGTCTTCCTTTGGCCGACCGGTTTGTTTCGCATCCATACTTTGTCCGGACAGCTGCTGCTGATAGACATCTTGATGACCGAATCTTGCAGGCAGTGAATATCATAACAGTGAGTGGTCTTCTTGGTCACTGAAATACGAATCACGTGGACGAATCGGGACATGATCTGGCCCCACGCACGCGTTCCGGAAGAAGTTAGTCTTGCACATGATGTCGCCATTTAGGGCTGATTCCTACGTGGTCAGTCTTAGTGGTTGATTGGTTTACGGTTTGCAGGGTGCAAGGTAACACGATGCCTACGTTTGTGCTGAAAGCTCCTGCTTGCAATAAATAGATGGTGCTCAGCTGACATTTGTGGATTCTAGGAACATCTTTACCACAATTGGACATTTGGATCCCCAGCTAGTACGGCGGTATCCATGTACTTGAACATCCACAAGAACCTCGAGAGTTCTCCAGTAAATTCATTTTTGACATTCACTGCAGTTTGTTAGGGCATACAGGTTTCAGGTTTGGGGTCAGTGATTGCGGATACTGACGACCGTGGTAAGTTCGACCGCACACGATCTTCTGCTGTGAACCATGTTCAGATGGATTGACGTATGGGTTTTTAATGACCAGCAGGTGTGAGCAAGGGAATTCTATTTACCGGTCTGACAAATGGCACTGACGCTGAGCGTTGATGTGCTGAACAGACTCCTTGGCGTTAGTTGTGCATGCTTACGTTTTGTTTTTTTTTTAGGTAGAGAAATTAGAGAACTAAGGACAGACGGGGTTGTGTTGGCATGTGTAGTAATTGGGGTTAGGACTCATAAATTCGAAAGACTAACAACTGCTCCAAAACGGCGTGGGTGTATGTTGCTTTCCGGTTGATCAAGCGGAAGAAGGGGATTTATTTGAGATATCTCATCCTGAGCCATTGACTCAAATGTCTGGCAGGTTAGGTAGTCTGGGAATGTAGGGTTTTGTTCCGGGGCCACGCTCGAAGCCTCTAACTCAGGCCTAACCCTCGGAGCCACAGAAGTTTGGGGTTTTCCTGGGACATCCTGATCCATTTAGTCGTAGAAGGCTTGCCTAAACCGTAGGGCACGCTTGGTAAGCCACAACTATCTGACTCCTCATGTGACTACGCACAACAGGTGTTCCCTGAGCGGCAGTAGACTCTGGTCTTGAAAGTATTTCAACCGTATTGAGTAATGCGACGGCGATTGCAGTTAATCGTTCAGTGGTCAGGGTTAGGTTTTTGGAGACGACCTTTTCTAACCCCTCCTTCTTCGGGTGAGGACAGCATCACTGCCTCTAAAAGTGTGGGAATGCTTGTGTCCTCCTATTGCAGACGATACGACTTTATCCCAATATTATCGTATTACGATTTCTCTTCGTTCAGTGGCTTGGTGCTCTTCGTTTCGCTTCTTTTTGACCTTGACAAAGTTGAACCATGAGCGGCAAAGTAACCAACCAGCTTAGCCCGTAGGCTCATCACAACATCCAAGCACGACGACTATGCCAAGACGATACCTGTTACTCGGGAAAATATTTTTGAGAGTCTTGCTCACAGACTGTCAAATATTCGACATAATGTGAAAGAATCCTTCAAGCAATATGGAGTTAAAACTTTCTGGATTGGGGCCGGAGTATCCGCTAATCACATAGCAGGTCTATGACAGGCACAGTTTTCCATGTTCAAAATTGGCTTCACCGGTATCTCAAATTTGTGCACTTCTGAAGAACCCCTCGTTCGAGGTGTTTGTGCTTTTATGTGATGGTTTCGCAATGGAACACTTAACATTTGAAGTTACTCTGATATATTTTACAAACAGGTGGCTGTTTTTCACATGCACTTTGTACTACTGTGTTCAAAGCGAGAAACCAAACATCATTCATGAGTTTCGTTAGAAGATGTTCAAACGGCTTTCCTCTCATACCTAAACTCACAAGCAATATCGATTTAGCATTAACTCTGAACCTTGCTACATGAGGGTTTGTGTGCTACTTCAACAGTTCGCAACAATGAAGATACATTTCCGTTGAGCTTTCTTCAGCCTGTTTTGTCCAAGACCCTTTCCATACCTTGCGTATAGTGTGCCGGAACCATATCAACCACGATTTTTACGTGCTACGTCGTTTTCACGCCTTTCCCCCACTTAAAAGCATTTTAACCAGTACGAGTTTCCAATGAAATTTTAACTAATATTACGTGCACGTGTTTTCCATGGATTTTCTTGATGAAAATTTACCTCGTAGAGTGCATCGCCTATGCGTCACAGAGGTGAGTTAGGGATCTATAATGAGATGAATTTTTCATTCTGGTCACCCGGTATTAACCAGTTCATGTTGCCCGTACCCGTTCCGCTGCAATAACATTGATGTTTACGTACACCCGTAATACAGAATTCTACTGCTGTTTTTCTGCGGGGCCTATTTTCCGACTCACAGAGATATTCGCCACGCTTGTCACGTGATAAGTGAATTTCCGCCACCCGATGTTACAGCTCGTTAATCCTAATTTTGTTCTGCCCCATTAGATACACTCCATGTGTAGGTGTGTATATGTATGTATGTGTGTATAATGTATGTATGTATGCATGTATGTATGTATGTATGTATGTATGTATGTATGTATGTATGTATGTATGTATGTATGTATGTATGTATGTATGTATGTATGTATGTATGTATGTATGTATGTATGTATGTATGTATGTATGTATGTATGTATGTATGTATGTATGTATGTATGTATGTATGTATGTATGTATGTATGTATGTATGTATGTATGTATGTATGTATGTATGTATGTATGTATGTATGTATGTATGTATGTATGTATGTATGTATGTATGTATGTATGTATGTATGTATGTATGTATGTATGTATGTATGTATGTATGTATGTATGTATGTATGTATGTATGTATGTATGTATGTATGTATGTATGTACGTGTATGTATGCCCTTCCTATCGGCCCAATTAAAATCTGTTCAGAATCGCTTTTGTCTGGGGCCACTTCAATATTCTCACTCGCATTTACATATTCCGTTTGCGCCCCCTCACGGTTCGCTGTATTACAAGACAGTTGCATGGTCTAGTGAAAGTTGACAAATTACCCACAGGGTCAAGTTTTTTGTTACTGCCCACTCAAGAACTGGCGAGTTATTTTCCCCGATTTCCAGCGGAACTATTCTGCTGTTATATGGGTTAAAACAATTAATTTTTAGACTTGTGTCATAACAGCCTCCTGACAATTTATTCGGTCTACTGGTTGACGACTACTTCGAATGGCCTGTGATTCAACTGCCAAGCTTCGTGAACAGACCACAAGCACTTGATCAGTAGTCAAGAACCACCGAACCTGAGCACTTGTGTTGTCTAAATATTTGGTATTTTCCGTCAGTAGCAAGCCCCAGATCGCTGTATATGGGCCCATACAACACGTCTTCACGTGTGAATTTGAGAAATCCGTTCAATCAAACTTACTGCTACGCCAATGTTTGTCAGGTTTTCTCATGATTGGTGGAACCTTTGGACTGTGGTTGCCACTACACTTAATTGTGGTTTGCATTTGTTAGCTTTGAGGCCTGCTAGAAATGAAAGCACGGAGAACCTCCAGTCACAATTGTGTCACTCACTTCAATACATAATTCATCAACCTAAAAAAATGTGGTACTTGTGGTATGCCACAAATACCAGATGTCTAAATGAATGTTACTTCACTTTCCAACAAAACTAATGCAGCTTGATCTGGACAGTGAACTGTAGTCGAATAAAATGGGGTCACACTCATCAGTGAAGCCTGAGTTTTTTTCTAGTCTGCATACGTTACCTCGACACCGTTTCTCGCGTTGAACCGGCATACTTTGGCGGCTGTGGGGAAAAGTTTATGTTCACAGCCAAGCACAGTTGCGATCTCAAATTGACTGACGTTAATCGGAGCAACTAACCCTCTTCCAGTCCTAGTATTTACGACTCAGCTTTCGCTGTGCCGCTTGAAATGTCGATTGTATAATGTACTTCGAAAGGGACGGTGTTTATTCCTAATGAAGTGTTCTGGCGAAGTGGGGTATACAAATTTTTCGAAGCTTCTTTAAATCTCTTGCCGATTGTTCGTCCGGGCTAAATCCAATTGGGAATGAACAACAGTGCTACCCCTCCACGAAGGTGTTGCCTCAGGGTTGTTTGCTGTATAAGCGATAGGATGTCTGCTTCTAAGATAAGTGTTTCCGAGAATAGAATGAAATCTTGGAGAAGTCATGCAGAATGGTAGTCTGCTCTTGATTGGTCGTAAGTATTTCGTGGCGCACGACCCAAGTTCATTAAAAGCAGTGCAGGATCGCGCGTTTGTGCCCGTTGGGTTGGTTGCGATGTATACTGAGTTGTCCAACACATTACTTGCGTCTTCTTACACACTCAAGTTTTTTATCGGGACTTTGGTAACGAGAAAAATGAAGACGTAAACGTGGACTTACATATGCGTGACTTGAATTCAGTTAATGATATACTGCTGACCTCCCGAGACTCAGGCAACACGCCTCTGGACTACACGCGCAAGTTTTGGCATCAGTTGTACTCTTGTGATATTTCCTGGGAATGAGTTTGGTCGAACCGACTGATTTCTAGGAGGATATGATCTCAACGATCGTACCATGGATGATGTTTTGAGTGATGTTGAAAATATGAGGGAGCCTAGTTTACTCAACAGAGGTGGAAACCAAGGAGAACTCTTGACCGAACTCACCAAGGAGTACTGTAAACTGTAAGAACCAGGCTATTTTTCTCGCGTAAGACAGTGACACAGACTCGTGCTTATATGAAAACTTCAAACGAGGTATAATTCGTCACATGATGCTTTTTCTTAATGAATAGATAACTCTGCATTATGAAACCCACGAATACAAAGAACTCTTTATTCACAGCAAAAATAGCCTCAAGTGCTCCAGTGCCACGGAAGGGGTACGAAATTTATCTTTAATTTTGAAGACACCTACGCAGCCGGTCATTACGTCAGCACAGTCGTAATAAGTTAAGTATCGTGTCTATATCTTCATATATATATATATATATATATATATATATA